AATATATGTATCGATTACTCTTGTCGAAAAGCATAATAATATTATTGAATAAAATTATTTCATCTCTGTGCCGAATGATCTTTGCTCTCGTTGCTCAGATAGAGTTACTTCCACTTCTTTTTGATTCGTCTCTTTTCAAAGGTCGCGGTTTCCTCTCGGGATAGCTGCAGGAATGCAGTCTTTCTTGAATCGACGTCGCTCGCGTTGCAGCGGCAGGTTGCACTCCTCTTCTTCTTCTTCTTCTCTGACCAACCAACGAGCAACCCTTCCCTTCTGCTGCACACCATAATATAATGACGAAGGTCAATGCACTCCTTCTCTCTCTCTCTCTCTTGGCTTTTTTATAAATCAAACACACAAAAGAGCCCGCGGCTGCATTCCTCGTTAAGCTGCTGCATCATTTTGAGAATTTTAAAAGGCGGAATGCTGAGAGCAAGCTAAGAGTGGGGAGATTCTTATTTTTTCCTTCATTTAGATGCTTTAATTGAAAATTTCCAACCAACCCTTAATTACTGTCAATTAGACGTGATTGTTACTTTGTGCCGCCTGTTACTTGTGTATTGTGGTGTCTATTTTGGGATTGCCTTCGAGCGAATGGAAAGGAAATAATAATTGATTAATTTCGTTTATGGCTCTTTTTCGAACAAGTAAAATTTCTCTCTATTGAGGCTCATGGAGCTAGAATTAATCCAAAAATCGTTTCGCGTGATCACCATTTGCACAGCAGTAGCGTTAATAGTAATCATTGAACAATATTACGATCATAGACATCTGATAATAGTTTCCACTTCATTGGAAATTTTTTTCTCTGGCAGAAAAAGTTTCAGCTTTACAAATGTTTAGTTGCAAATTTAATGTTTACCTCATTATCTCTTTAAACTAAGCAAAATAACGTTGATGTTGATAAATTTTTTACGTTTTTTTTAAAGGCCAGTTTTCTCAATTCAATTGAGATTGAAGTTGAAAAAGGTATTTTCAGAATGACCAATTTTAGTCGGCAAATTTTGAATTCATCAAACAAAAGTAAAATTCAATTTAGTCACTTTTTGTAATAATATTGCCAAATAAACGCATCTGTAATGGAAAAAAAATTAATTAAATAGTTATAAATATTCCAATCAATTTTTTTTCAACAAAGTTGAAGTTTTAATGTCAAAATTATTAAAACCTGCTAATTTTAAGCAAATTTTGGAATGTCCTGAGTTATCCAACGGTAAAAAATTCAGGCTGCCTCTTGAGCATAACTTTTGTGAAACGACTCGTTACCAGCAATCTAAAAATAGCCAACTTGCCACTTATGAAAGGAGGCATTCAGTTGAAAATTAATAATCAAGCGTCGTTCGTCTGACTGATATTTGTTTTGATTGGCACGGTCACGCGACCCTCTCTCCTTATTTTCCTCCAAAATCACGCTCAGATTCCTGAAATCCGTGCGTTGATCTTGATTGAGCTCGAATTTTCAAAGGAATTCGCCCGCGGCAGCAGTCGCGCTCAGAAAACGCACCTGTCCGCTTGACACAAGTCAGTTATGCGTGTGGATCGACGGAAATGCAACAAGTGGCCGCGGGCCGTTCGCCGTTGGTCACCGCAAGGTCGCCTCGTGACCTTTCCGTTTATCGGAGCATTTTGCGCTGATTTTCTCTCTTTATTCTTGCTCGCGCACGTGGTGTGCGTCAAGAATGTGAAAGGTGCAATTAAATTGCTAATTTTAAACAGTCGATAAATTAATTAATGGAATTCCTCGGCCCCGGCTTAACCATACAACATACACGCGCGCAAGTATAAATGTGTGCTGCTTTTCCTGCGGCACGACTGGTGGATGGAATTCCGGCGCGCCACGAACTTGTTACCTCTCTCGAAAGCAGCTGTGCAGAAATGAGAAGAGGCAGAAATCACGCTTTTCGCAATTGGGAACAGTCGACGTACACATTTGGCAGCCAAAGACATTCTGAAAATATGCGGGCTGAAATGTGAATGAGATCGTTTGTACTCCACAAAAACGCTGCGAACAAAAAAAAAATACCATGAAAATTGACTGAAATTTGAATATTATTGAGGAAAATGTTGGAATATAATAAAAAAAAACTTAATTTCTAGATTAAAACTATGAAAACACTCAAAATTTTAGAGATTCTTGAATGATTCTCCAGAAATCTCTGCAGAAAAATATTATAAATATTATAATTTAAATTGATTTCAAAACATGAAAGTTTTTATAATGATTTTAAAATTAAAACTAGAATCCAAAATCAATGGATTAAAAGTTTCATAAATATAACATCAAAATAAAGTATGGATTCTCTTTTTCTTTTCCATAATTTCTTTTATATCTTCAATTTTTTTCCTTTTTTTTTTGTAACTAATCTCATGATTTATTATTTCTGATTTTGAATAACTAAATATTCATAACTGGAAACTAACAAATTTTTATAATTCAAATCTGTGGGAAAAACGCTCGTTATTGTGATGTAGACCACGTTGTTTTCCGCACGCCTCCAACTCAGTTTGGCACCATAAGTTATTTTTCGGCTGCGGATAATAATGACCATTGTCAGTACTAACAAGATTACACTCGAGAGAAGAAGGAGCAAAAGAAGTCAGTTCCTTTTATAATGAATAGCGTGCAAGCTGGGCTTTCTACTCAAACAAGTATCGCCGGCCGGGTCTTTGCAGTTCGCCGCCGCTGCCGCCGCGGCAAAAATCCTCATTTATATTAAATTTATGACCGTGCACGTAGCTATACGTACCTACAACATCACTCTCTCGAGAAAGAGAGAAAAGAGAGGAGCCCCTCGGACCAACTATCGCCGGCGCAATCAAAACTTTGCATAAATAACAAACGCCCGCTTTGAGAGAAAAGTTTTGATTTACAGCTTGACCGAATGTGAGCACCAAAAGGTGAACTGGTTGAAGTAAACAAAAATTAGGGAAGAGAGAAATAAAGTAAAAATTATAAATCTAAACTGGAAATAATGAAAAGATTGCCTGAAATTTGGAGGAAAATTGAAAGGCGCAAAATTAAGCTCTTATGTATTTTTTTTTTTAAATTGCCCTTTTTTATTCCTACATCAAGATAATACCTATTTTTCTAAAAGACACCTCGATTCCTACTTTGTTTAAATAAGGAAATGTTGTTTAAAGCTAATACAAGTTGGTGAATATATGCTAGAAACAGAGGTTTTGTTGTAATTTGTAATATTTGTATCAATTAAGGGTCGCTTCAGAGCCCAGCTCTGAGAGCCACGTTTTGTCTCCTCACCAAAGACTATCTTATAATAATCAAAACGCTAGACATTTTCCACAAATCTGAAAATTTTCCATGTTTTCCGCAATTTATAAATAATACATTAATAAGCAATATTTTAAATTAAATAATCAATTGATAAGGATTCCTACTAAAATTTAAAAAAGGTAAGCTCTTTATCTCTAAGGAAAAAACCCAATTTGATATTTTCCGTTAACATTGGTGCCGTCTGTGGCGATATGCAGAAACGCGCCTCGTGTGCCGAAAAGTGTTAATTTTTTCTCGGACGTGAGAATCGTACACATTATATTTATTTTGTTGTCTGTCGGGCGCGTTATTTGCGTTCACCGGTCTCTGTGGGTCGGTTCTCCAGCACACACTTGGTGTGTGTGTGTGAAGGAGAAAAGGAGGCGAGGAGGATTTCACCTCTCTCGATCAGCTTCTTCAAAGAAACGGAGCCGGCAAGGTGCGAACGCTGGTCCATCCATCGAGCTAGGCGGGTGGCTCTCGGATGCTGCTGCGGGGGGAGGAGAGGTGGAGGGACTAGGGGGGCGGTCATCTCTGATGGTGGCCGCATTCCTTCCGACCATGGTTGACCTTGGAAAGGGGGCAGCAGGCAGTGCAGGCCGGCCTAACCTGATCCTGGCTGCGCTGCTCTCTCAAAGCAGTACATTTCCAGTATCAAATACACCAACATTTAAGGAAAATTTTTTTAAATACGGACGGAGCCACGGAGCGGCGGCGACGTCAAGCAAAAGCAGCAGAGATTCCATCGCCGGCTTATTATATATGTAGTAGTATGAGAGGCGAGGGCCACTCCCTGATTCGAGTTTGCATACTTCGGCACACACACCACGGTAGAATGTGTGGTGTGTGTGTATATTGTTGTTATTAATGGACGCTGATTAAAGAGAGCTCCTCTCTCTCTCAGGATGATTATATGCGTGGCTAGGCGTGGATAAAATAAAAACTGCTAGAATTCGCCGAGCCGACGTGCAAATTGTCCAATGACCTTGATACAATGTTGCGGCACTTGTTGCTGATGCATATTTATGTGTTTTATACATAAGGTCGAACTGGATTGGGCCTATAAATAAAATAGCTCCGCAATGATCGATCATAAGGCGATTTGCTACGTTGTTTGCAGAACCCCCGCAGAAGAATATAAGGCGAGAGGATAAGGAACAAGTTTGCCTCTCGGAGAACGATGAAAATATTCTCGCAGTATATTAAGATTTTGCGACCATAAAAGGCAAAGCTGTTGAGAAGTTGAACATATACGCGTCTTATAAAAGGATCAAATTGTCTTTAGTTTTTATCGCAGCAAAATTAAACTTGGCAGAAAAAATTAATGATTTATTTCTTCAGAGATCTTAGTGAAGAGCAAATATAAATTAATGTTTAGAAAAAAAGTCAATATTGAAAATATATAAAAATAGAAGTACAATAATTTGAATGATGAGTAATTCTTGAGTTGATAATTTTTCTCTAAATACTAAATTATTATTATTATTGCCTCACAAAAGTTGCTAATTTTTAATTTTATTGCAGTATTATTGTGAGCCTTGAATTAAAACTTATAATTTTGACAATTTTAAGGCTAAAATTTATATCAGCATTCCCTAGCTGATGGGTATATAAGTAATTTTCTTTATTTTATTAATTTCAACTTACTCTTGAAAATCACCAAATAAATTAAAAATATAACTTTTCAACAAAGGAATTTGAAATTTTACAAAACATTTTCTGTTCACAGGAATCTTGCTATTGGAATCGGTTTGCAGAACTTCCCTGAAGGTCTTGCTGTGAGTTTGCCCCTTCATGGTGCCGGTTTTTCCATTGCCCGTAGTTTTTGGTGAGCCTAAAATTTTGTAATTTTCCTCAATTTTCCAATTTTGAAAATTTCCATCCCCAGGTACGGTCAGCTCAGCGGCATGGTGGAGCCCATTGCAGGCATTTTGGGTGCGGCCGCCGTTCAGGTGGCCTCCCCTTTGCTGCCCTACGCCCTCTCCTTCGCAGCGGGTGCCATGATCTACGTGGTGCTCGACGACATTGTGCCTGAGGCTAATTCAGGGTGAGTACTTGCATCATTTTGAATTATAATATGTTCCTTTCCCACGTCGCTCCAAAGCTAATCAATTCTTTTGGCGGCCTCTTACGAATTCAATTTCGAAACTCGTCAGAGGATCCGACTGTCGGGCACAGCATTAAATTGTGAATTATTCAGCGTGTGCTGCGTCTATTTTGTGATGCATCAACTCTATAAAAGTCGCATCCCTGGGCGTGGTGCAGCTTGGCTCATTTGGTAGCGGCTTCATGATTAATGCGCAGGGCGGGCGTATTTTCAGTTATTATTGTTGCATTTTGCATGTGTGGGCAACGTACTTGCCCTCGGTACATATGGCATATTCACTTGCATGACGGCATCCTGTGTGTCTGTGCTTTGACCCAAATACATTGTTTAATCGAATTGTTCCAAGTACTTGTGCCCACTGGTGCCGCTGCCAGAGTGAAAGGGTCGTGCGCGGACCGAGATTGTCCTTTTAAGGATATAGCGCCTCGTAATTAAGGAATGAGTTGATATCCGGCCCGTCTCTCTCTCTTCTGGGAACCCAAACGACTGGAATTTCTTTTAAAAAGTTTGCTTGTTGTCGCTTGAATCGAGTCGCGCGTTCATTTTGCGCGGCTGCAGACAAAGCGTCAGACAGCACTTGAATTTTTTATAATGCGCTTTTGCTGCAGCGAAATTTCACTCTTCTGGTTCACGGAACACAAAGACCTGCTGAAAAGTTGAAAGCTGAAACGGAATTCACAAACAAACTGAAGGGATTCTCAATTGATTAATTACTTTCTCTAATAAATAAATACTACGTCATTATTTTTGGTTGTTAATAATTAAAATAATTGTGTTTTTTTTTTATCATTGGTGTAAATTAAATTTATTTTTTGTCCTTATTCGTAATCAATTTTCAAGTTTAGGAATTTTCAGATCTAAATTGAAACGATGTTGGTTGGGAAAATTTAAATAGAATTTCCCAAAGTTAATTTATTTTCTAGTTTTTTTTATTGATCAGATAAATGTAGACTCCACGCTTTCAAGACAAATAAGTGCAAGATAAATAATTACGTCCTCCTTGCACTAGAAGATTTGAATCGCATTCCGAGTAAGAATAATTCTGCGCCCATAACCATTTTCCGGGAGAAGCAGTTTCTCTGGAGAATCTCGGATCTAAAGCATGCAAACGCACTTCTTACAAGGAGCATTAATTTCATAAAAAAAAGTTGGCATGCATGTGAACCTGCTGAGAACAATCACAATTGAAACGCAAAACATGCAGCATATTATAGGATTAAGAAGAAAAAATGGTACACAAATCTTGTCTCCATTCATGAAAAGTATTAGCGCGTATTTTTACTTTCATTCACGAGAGCGCAGCCATCAGATAAAAGATCTCATTCTGAGAGTCTCGTGCGGCAGACGAAAATAAAATAAATATATTTCCTATGAGAAAACAGCGCAGAGTGCAGCTGAGAAAACAGGAGAGCATTGTGGGCAAATTAGGTCCTACCAGATTCGAAAATTGAAAAGGGGTCGTTTAGTTTTTCCCTTTCTTTGCTCGGTACAGAATCATGGATTTATCCCACGCTGCTATATCAAAAGAGAGAGGGAGGGAATAAATAGTAAAATGAAAAGATCAGTCCACCCTCCCTCTTTCTTTCTTATATAATTTTTCTGGTGTCGCCGCCGCCGCAGCGCGAGTGAGAGAGAGAAAAAAAAAGAAAGAGGAATATAACTTGTTCCCACGACCTGTAACCCTCGTCGCTCTCCAAAGAGAGAGAGGTGCAATATTGTTATTGTGCGCCGGTCTCTGCTATTAAAAATGCTGTGCGTTTGGCCGGCCAAAAGCGATTCGCGGCGCGAATTGGTCTGCGCGCCGTGTGTTTATATTGGTTTTAAAAGCTGAGCGCGCGCTGGAATTTTTATTGGCGCGCTCTTGAAATACTCGGATTTTTATTTTCGGCTCGAAGAAAGTAGCCGAGAAAATATTTATGCTAATCTCGCTTGGGGGGCGAAAGACGTCACATCCTTTCTTTCTCTCTTGCGCCGGGGACCTGCATGACGTCAATAATTATGTGCTGTGCACGTCGATCCTTTTTATCAAGCGATGACCCGAAAGGTTGTTTTGATATCCTTTTCATTCAGAAGCTTAAGCTCCAATTAAGCTGCCCGCCGACCGTCTTGATTGCGCGCTGCATTATGTGCGAGCGGGGCGCCACTTAGCCCATCAGAGAGAAAAGACTTGACGACGGAAATTTGTCATCGTTTGCTCGTTAGTGCATTTTAATTGCAGCTCCTCGTGATTTATGTACAAAAATTGCTGTTTAATTGTGGTGCCTAAAAGTCGGCGTGTAGGATTGAGACCCAAAAATTCCTCAAACTTCACATTTAAATTAAACTTATTTTAAAAGAATTTATAATTAAATCAAAGAAATTGAGTCAACTTGAGGTTAAAAAAGATTAAATTTTTATATTTTTCCACCATTATTAGAATCCCATTGAATTTTTTAATCATTTTCTGTTATGGAATCTTTGGTTAAATTAAAACAATGTAGGATTTTCTCTACTGCACAACAGCACCCAAAGCAATTCATATTAACATAATTATTCAAAGCAACATATTTGATTTTAAATCTCAGCAAACGTCTTAAATTTTTAATGAAACTTCAAACACAATAATGTAGCTAAAAAAAAAATACTATAAGCCAAAAATCCTAAATTTTTATTAAGCGTGTTTGATACTTTTGCTTTTTATTGACATCTTCGAGCCAATGACCACTGCAATTTTCATCTCAACGCAAATCTGTAATTTGGGTAATTATTTTTTCTCATTTTACTCAATTGATATTAAATTATATACTTAAAGTAGATCTGGAACTAAATGCGAATATTATTTTATTTTTGGCATAAATTTTATCAGAGAAAACAATTTTTTGCCTCCATTTTCATCCAAAGACGTCATTACGAAATTTTTGACAGAAATTAACAAACATTTGAGCTTATTTATGTTTGATTACCAACCATAAATAAACCAAGAAGGACACAATCGAAGGCAGCACGCCCTTTTTTGTTGGAAAGGCGCTCTTGCTTATCAATGATGTCAATGAAGTGAAGCAATCGCTCGGGGAAAGAGAAAAACTCCTGATGTGCGTCAATTGCGTTTGGACGTTGACTGGTCGATGAAAAAATAAAACACCCAACATATCAGCCAAGACCGATCTTTTTTCATCCCGGCGTGTAAAGTCTGCGCGGCCCCGAAAGGTCGTCATAGTGGAGAAGAGAGAGAAAGAGATCGGCCAAAGATGAGTTTCATTCATAAAAAAACGAACTTGGCGCCAACCGTTTTGTTTTTCCTCGCAAAGAAACACGCCGAATTAATTAGACCTCCCATGCAAACTAGACCGTCTGCAGATAAAACAAATTAACGCGTATATTTATTTTGATTAATTTTTCGTATCATGCGATTTTTCGGTAGCTGCGTCGATGGCAGTGCGCGGATCAAGAGGTTATGGGGCAACACGCACTGACGTAATAGATGACCTCGCACATCCTCCCTCATAAATAAGATATAAATGTGACACCCTCTGACCGCTGGCGAGACCGAGCGAGAAATTAAATATTGAAACGACTTCCTCCCTTTCGCCAGCCGAGACAAACAAGCCGGTCAAAATAATACTCAATTTTCGATTATTGACCCGATCCATGCGCCGAGCACCACTGCATCTGGCGTCCTAATCGACTTGATGAATTTGCTCCACAAAGAAAAAATTTTAAAATGATTCACGTTGACTTCCGGTTGCTTCATCTTGGCTTATAAGTCAACGAACAAGAGGAAAATATGATTTTAAAAAGGTCTTTTTACCCAGAATTTCCTAAAAAAAATTTCAATTATAAATTATAAGTCATTTATAGTGGAAATTATTTTGATTTTTTACTAAATTTAGCATTCTGAATCAATTAAATAAACGTATGCTTTTCAAACAAGGATTACTTTTTTGCAATCATTCGCAAACCAGCCGCAGCATCTTCATATGGACTGAATATTATGAGTTTGAAACAATTTAAACCCCCTGACATTAAATTATTTAAATTTAATGAGGAAGTTACCTTAAAAATTTAAAAAGAATATTAACATTACTTTTAAATCGGCTGATTTATAGTTCTAATAATAATTTTATATTTTTATTTTCAGTTAATTATGAAATGTATGGATATTTTTATTTTATTTCTCTTATATTGAATATATAAAAAAAATTCAAATTTGTAGCCAGAGTTCAAAATATGTAGTAATTCAAGTTTTTACCTACAACGTTTCCAATAAATTATTATGTCAAGTTACTCAATCTTGTAGATTTGTTTAGAGTAATCTAAATGTTCAGTTGAAACTTGCAGGTATCTTGCATAACAATATTGTATTTTTTTTTTTTAATTTGTCCTGAAAATTCTTTAAAAAAAATCCATGTCATTTTAATTTAATCCTTGCGATTATTGTCTTAAAATTAGTATATTTTAAAAATTAAATAATGCCTAAATTGAATTCAAAATAACTTGTTGAAAGGAGGAAGAAGAACTATATATTTCAAAATACGTTTCATGAATTTCCTCATTCGTGTTCTCATCAGCTGAAAACTCGTCAGCTTTTCTGACTTCAACTTGTGCAACTCCAGCATTTTCTCATCGAGAAATTGCAGAGCTTGTGCGTCACTGCTCCCCACAGATCAGATTTGCAACGATCACTGCAATTTTAATCCTCTCATTGGTTACCAAGCACGTGGACAGGTGCCATAAAATCAACTTGGGGATTTTTCTTTCCTTTTTTCGCAATGCGTGCGAGGCGATTTTGTTGTCAGCAAAAGCGACGTCACAAATGTTGCATTCCCTCTTGGCTATCTGCGCTGCTGTGCTAATAATTTTCCGCGGCGATGTGTTTGCCCACGTACGAGAGTGAGCGTGTATGAGAAAGAGTAGAGAAGAGGCAAATAGGCAGGCGAGAAATAAGAAAGCTCGGCGGCCTACGTAAGTGCAACACGGGCAAACACACTTCCATGAGAATGCCGAGCGGGCGCCCATAAATTATTGCCCAAGAAGAAGTCTTGATTCGGTGGCCCAGATACTTTGTGTTCGTGTAGCATGTTCACATTGCTCTTAGTAAACTGAGAAAAAAAATGTTTTCCAACGAGAAAAATCAGCATTTTCAAATCAAAAATTTTCTCAGTTAAGATTCTTTGAAGGCAAAATGTCAAAAATGATAATAAATTATTCAAATTATTCTCACAATTTGATATTTTGAATAAGTTCTTAAGCTAATTTTCAGCTGACAGCTGCAATAAATTCTAGATGGAAAAAATAATTGTTTTATTAACCGAAATCGCATATCAATCTGAAAATCGGATCATAGGATAAAATTCAAAGCCTTATAATATAGTCAGTCAACCGTCAAAAATGAAATAGAAAAACTAATTCAAATTTGATTTTATTAAAACTTTGAGAGAGATTGAGACACAAAAATTACATGGAAGATTTCACTTAATAATTTAATTTTTTGAAAATCCATTATCAACATGGAATAATTAAAATTTACCCAAAAATTCCAATTTATTTCTATAAACTGTTAATTGATCAAATAAAGTAGCAAAAAACAATTTTGAAAATTATGGCTGCTTAATGAAACCAAATAAGAGTTGACGAGTGAAAAAAAATTAGTGTTTTAGGATTTATTGTAAAAAAACTTCCTTCCATTTTAGATAGTTTAAAATTTATCTTAAATAATGCTATTCAAAATTTGTTTTAATAAAATAATTCACCTAGCTGGTTGCAATCAAAATCCAATGGAGTAATAATTGAGGTCTATTATTCACATAGTTTATTGAGTATCGAAACCTTTTATGACATATAACACGAAACCTCCGCTTTATTATGCACACCTGTCACAAATCAAACACACGAGAGCCGAACAAAAGGCAAAACATTTTAATAAATCGTCTCCAGCTGGGAGATCAAAACAAAACGGACAGTGTGTGATTTTTCGAACCGGCGCGAGAACAAAACGAGCCACGTGTTTGAATTTTTTCTGTGGCGTGTTCGAGGGCAACAAAGGCCGCGATTGTGGGCTCTGAATAGCCCGGCGAGTCCGAATATTGTGCGTGAGCATTCGCGAATTTTCGTCGCCACACATAGACACACGCGTCGTGACCCTGACTGCGGATGACCTTCCTTAAATACTGCGACTCACCCACTCTGCATATATGGTCGGAGCCGCCCCTTCCTCCCGGCTCGATTTATGTTTTTGGGCATGCGATAGAAAAAAAAATTGAGAATTAGCGCCCCCAAGGAGCCCCTGGATGTTCTCTCTTTCGACTCGCTTGAGCTGTGTGACTCACGCACTCTCTCGACGACGCACAATTAAATATTGTAATAATGCAGCTGATAATCTTAATTATTTTATTATTCACGCGAGTCCACAGCCCTTAAATGAGAACAATTTAAGAAAGGAGAAGTGAGTCACAAACTCAAGAAGTGTCACTTAAAAGTATAGACAGTGGCTCGACAGAACTATAAAATTGCAAAAAAAAAAAAAAAAAACATCGCTTAATTGAAAAACGGCCTTTGCTAAAAAAGATGCTTAGTATCAACTTGATTTTAACCGAAAGCAAAAATGGACTAAAATTGGCATAGGATTTACTAAATAACATCAACCAATTTCTTTTAGAAACAATTAAAAAGCTAAAATTATTGAAAATTGCTAATAATATTTTTTTACATATCTTTAATTTTATCATTAAATAATTTTATTTCGTTATTCTTAAAATTTACTTTTTAATTTTATCACAATAAACATATTTTTTTTAAATTATAGTATCATTTTTATTTTAATGATTATTCCCTTCTTTTACTAACTGTGATTATTATTAACAAAGTAAAATTTCCATAATTAATTATAAGTCAGTTTGACTCGCTAAACCTTAATTAAAAGAGAAGCCTTTACTAGAATATTTGGACGTTGTCTTATTACCTATAATATATGCAATGAAGTGAAATGAAGATATATTATCAGACATTGATTTTTATGGAATTATATTATATTTTATGCTATTAACATTAACAAGTAAATTATATAGGAAATAAAATAACTGCAGCCAATAAAATAAACAAAACATGTGAATCTGAATTTTTTTTAATTTTTATAAGGAAGCCTTGCTTGTTCTTGAAATGTTTATTTAACTAAAATGAAAGGGTTCGTCTGCCACATAAAAATTGTTACTAAAAGGTCTATAGAAATTTTACGACTCTCGGAAGATATCAAATTTCAATAAGCGCATATAATGGGAATGGGCCATAAAATTTCAATAAACCAGGAAGCGGATTGATTCCGTGGAAAAAAAATCAACTTCTGAACATTCCTTATATTAATTATCCTTTCAGCACCTTGCCGCACCCTTCCAATCAATGAAATTGTCCCGGAATTTGAGTCCAACGCCATTGGCTTCAATTAATCTCTGCCCTTCCTTTTGTCCACAGGAATAACGGCCGACTGGCGACGTGGGGTGGAATCGTGGGCTTCACACTCATGATGGCCCTCGACGTTGGACTGGGCTAAAGAAGAATTTTTTACTGACGACGCATCTCACCAGTCTCCACCAGACCAATTGCACTTTTGAAATCAATTTATTCAACTGCTTATTGGCCAAGCCAGCATCCTTCGGCGAATTCCTCTCATCGAATTTTAGAAATTAGAATTTCTGATTTTTATAAATTTTAATTTATCGAAGCTTTAAAACGAGTAGACGCATCGATTCCAATTCTTAGTGCATTTAGTTAAAAATTAATTTCTTTTCTCACTAAATAATTCCGTCCTACTAGATCAGGTGACTTAGAATTTCACTTTCTATATAAAAATTCCCAACTCCTTTCTTACTCTAGACCAAAGAGACTCATTCATTCAGCCATCGAATTAACTTGTAAACCAAAACAAACACACGCGCCAACCTTAGAAGAAGAATAGCACCATTATGCGCGAATTTTTATTCCTCTCGATCAGACAAAGAAAGCAGAGAAAATAAATAATCCTCTGCTTGGTGGGAGCGTTGCAAAAAAAAACGGCAATTTATCAAACTCTGCAGCAGTCATTTATGGTGCTGAAAAGAATTCTAGCTTTTAAGCACATTAGTGAGAAAATAAAATCTGTCACTTCTCCTCCTCCCCTCATATATTGTTTTTGCGTCTCGAGAGAGAATCAGCAGTGGCAATTTAGCAATTGTGCCCATTCACCTCTGCAATAAACCAAGCGCAAGAGAGCTGAATGAATGGACGAGTCAACGATCAATGAACGCTCACATTTGAAAAATAATGTCACCGTTGAAACTCTCTGGAGGCACATCGGTCAATCATTCATTCAGCTAGGGGTTGTCGATAACGAAAGTATGTAAACAGTCCAAAGTCTGCTACAGCGAGTTTATTTATTTCATTGTTTTGTTTAATTTAATATCTCCCAGTTCCGGCTGCATTTGTGAATTGGCCAGAATTTTTCTGTAATCTCTATAAAGAGGAAAGAAGATGCGTTATTTTTTTTGTGCTGGGTCATAGGAAATTAGTTTGTAAGGAAGATGTGATAATAATTGAGGAAAACGTACTACTCTGCGTTGTGCTGTTGAATTGAATATCTGACTTAAAATATATCCTGATGCTTTTAGAATCACATTCTCTATTGTATATAGAATTTATATTTAATCACCATGGTTGTTGTTTTGACTCAAAGCAGGATTTGAAAACTTTACACTACTTATTTGAATTATTTATCATTGACTCTAAAAATTCTACCAAGTAGAAAATTGATATCTCTTAATTTTGAATGACGAAATGAAGTAATTCTGATTTTCCAGAATTTACTTTTAAATCTGAAAATGAAACTCAAATTTAATATAATTTTGGTTATTCACATCCTGCTGTAAAAATACTGTCGATCTGTTGTGCTTATTTCTGTCTGTTGATTAATAACAAATGTATCTCATGAAGGAATCCGTTTTATATAACATAATTGGTGATGACACTTTTGACATGTGCATTAAGTAAAAAACAAAAACAACTCAACTCTCACAGCTAGCGATAATAATAGATGCGGAAACAAAATAAACGCGACGACAGTTTTTATACACATTAATCTCTCAATGTGTTTTTATTTTACTATTTATATTCCTATAAAAAAGCTATTCTAAGAGAAAAAATCCAGTATGACACGCAAGCAGGACAGGTGTTTGCAATAAGATTTCTTTCTTTCTTGCTCGCGCGCTCAAAGTTGATTTTCGCACCTTTGGGTGCGAGTTGTGGAGCGGCGAGTCACTCTCGCGCTAGTCTACGTTGCCCGTAGCTATTTTAGAGCCGCTAATTTTAGGACTGGCCAGGGCACAGCAAAAGGATAGAGCGCGTTTACTTCACCCACCGCGCGCTCTCTCTCTCCACTCGCACACCACCCCGCGAGGTTAAGGAACTTGTCAGGACAGACACGCGCCTCCGCTCGCGCTTTCAACGCCCAACTCCACTCGTCCTCCAGTCTAATTAGTTTCTGCCGCTCTTTTTCTCTTTGCCACACTCACTTGTGGCATTCCTAGCTGCGAGGACGTGCGCTTGGGTGTTGGGGCTTAATTGTCACGAAATAATCTTGAAACGGGTGAAGTGAAAAATGTAGACACATTAATATTTTTTTGTAGATTTTACTAGCAATTCCAATTTTCCCCTAGTAGAATAGTGTTTTAAAATGACTTCTAGTGAAAAAGTTAATTATTTTTTATAAAAGTTCAAAGTATAATTAACAATGAGTATAAATGTGAAAGGGTGAATGGTGAATTTAATTTTTTTTCTGATTATGAATAAAAAAATCATGGTAGTCTGAATACTTAATTATGTACAGGTCATGATTTAATTTTATTATATTACAATGTAAAAATTTGGAAAAAAAAATTAGTTGAATTTTGCACTACAGAAGAATAACGAAGATAGTTTTGATTCTTTTTTTATACAAATAATCAAAATTATCGGCACAGGTAAGAATTTTTATTACAGTTCATAAATACGCAAGTTTGGATTTTTAATTTAGGAAAAACTATGCAAAATTTGTGCCAAATTCATACAATTTCCTTAAGTTTAGTCAAAAGCAGAGATTTAAACAAATATATTAATATAAGAACTAGAATATTTTAACTGTTTTTCTTTTAAAATACCAATAATTATAATATAATTTTGGTTAAACTTTAAATAAAAAATTTTATTTTCAATATAATAAATAAAACTATTTATTTATTATACAATAGAAAATACCACAAAATTGGTCTCCATCCTTTAATTTTCCCAAGGTGTATGTTTTTAAATCAATATTATTGAGCTATATTAATACTACAAGGTTTTCCTAGCACAGGAAAAACTCACTCCAGAATGTGTTTTAAAATGGGTCCCTCGTCAACCTTTTGTAGCGCATGTTGATATTTAAATATTAATGTATAATTATGAATTATGAGAATTGATACAAATATTGGGAAAAGAATTTAAAAAAAAACTCAACTAGAGTTCAATAATGAAGATTTTAGAAACTAAAATAAAAGAAAAAATTTAAAGTGATGCTAAATAATTACATTTGTTTATGCAATAAATTTAATATGACAGTCCCGATCAGATTCACGATCTGTTTGCTTTAGAAAAACGCACTTGGCATCCACAATGGAAACTGTGTGCAGATATAAATTAAATCTTTTATTCATTATAAAACGCGAGCAATCTGGGTCGGGCTGTGCTGCTGGCGAGATTAGCGATTCCAGACGCGGGGACACGGCGGTGAGGCTGCCGCTCGCGCACGGGGCTCGTAATTTTTGCTGCAGCAAGTGCGCCGGCCGTGTCTTGGTGGCATAATGAGACGGTGAACCAGCAGCCAACCCGTTGCTTCGCTGCAAGGCAGAAATGCGCGGCATGCAAGCAATGTTGATTTGAGCTCGGCCCATAAGAAAAAGAGTTAGCCGACCTTCCTTCTTATTCTCTTCGGCCCGTCCTGCCCCATCATCTCTCTCTCTCCGCGATTCATGTAAGTGCCCATGAGCAGTGCGAATTCCTCACAGTAAATAGCCATCCGAGACTCTCGCGGCTGTTGCTGCGCCGAGAGAAGAGAAGATGCACTAAAGGCAAGCAGCATGTGTCGCAAATGCTTATACAAAATTATTGTCTTTTTTTAGCATGGAACAAATCTGAATTGCTGCCAATTGAGTTCAAGACGGCCCATAATTTGTGCAAATATTGTCAAGTTTTGTTAGCATTAAAATTTTATATTAATAAATTGACAAAATTCTTCAGACATTAACAAAAAAATTTGACTCTGGTTTCAAAAGCTGAAATCCAAAAGTAATGTCTTTTATGCTTTAATATTTTATTTCATAATAAGATTTGAGCCAAATTTGATTGAAATTATCAAATTTTTTTCAAGTGTTGATATCATTAGCAAAAACAAATAAATCTGAAAGTTTGAAGATAATTTTTGCGTATAGTTATTTCTACCCTCATGCACTATTTATGACTTGAATTGTAAAAAAATCAGAATCTCTAGAGACAAATTTATTCAAAAAATTTGGCGTATGCTGATTTTGACCCTCGTCTCTGGGTGAGGAATTAATTAAACAAAGTCAAATAAAATGAATATTTGACAATACAAAAGAGAGCCTAAATTGACTAGTAATGCCAGCTAATTAAATATTGATTTAAAAAATATCAACAGAAACCTCCACTCCACTTAAAAGCGTTTAGAAAATTCAGTAACATGGAAAAGATTTAGCTTTTTTTCAATTAATTTCAAAAAAATCAAAGCTTTCCGATAAAATAATTTGACAAGTGAGGAACTGAATTTTACACAAAACTTTCTTAAATTTGATGTACTAGTTTTCTTGTACTGCAGCTTAATCCTGAAACTTTCACCTGCATGAACTGAAAAGTTTTGAATGTTGAATTATTATTGGAAAAAAATCAATCTCTTATTGTGTTAAACTCACCCAAAAAAAGTAAAGTCGACACAATACAAATTAATTCAATTGAACAACTATTTTGATCTGAATGCGCTCTGATTTTTTTCATTATAAATTTTTACCAGATTCTCTCTTTGGTCTCTTCCTTAAATTAAAATGACTTCTTTTTTTAATCTCATACATATATAAGATGTTTGCTTGTTTACAGTTTTTAATCCTACTCTAACGGTCGCCACTGAGTTGGTCTCGGGTAAAATTAGTTAGTTGACAGGACCTTAAAGTGACTGATGTGTCATCTTGGTCGCATACAACATCGGAGCTGCTTTTTTCCAAGAGCGAAATCGTTAATGACCACTATAAGGAATAAAAGGAATGCGTGGCGGCATCGGCTACGTTTTATGATTTTCGCACAATATATAATTCAGGAATTCAAATTACGTTGGAAACACGTCTCATTTTTGCATCGTTATATGCTAATCGTTCGCTGAAGTGAAGAGGGCAGAAGAGCGCCGCGAGTGAGTGCGGCTCGATATCAAAAAAGTTCACGGAAACCTCGGCACCGAAGTTCCTCCTGTAACGAGAGCGGTGCGAGGAATTCGCACAGCACACGGAGAAATTTCAGTTTATTACAACGGCACGATCAATTATTGCGAGGAAAGAGAAAAATTCAACTCTGTAGATCGGAAGCAATTTAAATTCTTTAGGGAAAATTTAATTGCATTGGCGTCTGGCAAATGTTATCTTGCTCTACAAAGCTATACAAAGCAAAATTTTCAAACAAATTGCAAATTAAATTGTAAAAATATTTAGAAAGGGAGAATTTTTACCTTTTTTGCAATCTTTTTTGAGCTAAATAATGTGTACTATTGATGTTAAATTTTGCTTGTAGTTTTTCTCCAAAAAATCTATTATTTTCTAGATATTAATTTGGGCGTTAAGTTATTCAAAAAATTTAAAAAACAATTTTACAAGCATTCCTTTACAACACGTCAGGATTTACATTTTATTTAGGGAAGTCCCTTTTTATTTATTGCTTATTTAGCGCTCTTCCAGTTTTTCTTTTGTGCGCTTACATCTTGTTTTGAAATTTGAAAAATACTAGAGAAAAGACGTGGAAACGTTTGCTAAAATTAAAGAAATAATAATTGTAATACAGTAAAATTGTAACAATACTAGAAATAAGCTATAGTGCTGTGAATGCAAACAAACTCTACGAACCTTCACTAATCTTGAAGCTCAAGTTGATAAAATAATTAAACATATTTGTGGTTCCACTCAATGCAAAAGTATTTAAATTTGGAAGAAAAACAATATTAAAAAATAAAGTAATGTATAATTTGTGGTATTAAAATAACTTCACATCCACAATTTTAATCAGTTCTCCTCAATTTTATTCTACTTTTACCACAAAATAACCCCTGCGAAGCGAAAATCTGCAACACGCATAACAGCAACGTCGTGGTGGTTGCATACCTTCGTTCCTGATTCAACAACCAACATCATGATTTTTTTTAATAAATTTTCACATTTCGCATAGAAACAAGAACGGAAACATTAAAAGCAGCCATGACAGCATGGAAAATTTTCACATTTTTCCAAACTGACAAAGTTGGGCTCGGCCTGTGTGTGACGTGTGTGTGAACGAACGGATGGAGTTTTCAGGTTGGCAGAAGTGGTAGGGAGGGGAGAAGAGGGAGGGGGCAACTCGGCGCTTCGCCGCCAGGGGACCGTGAGCAGGCAAGGCAGCAGGCCGTGCTCGCTCGCGTAACAATTTCAATTCATTTTCATTAATGAGACGGCGGAGCGAAGGAGGGAAGCCACGTTTGTCGCCGCTGCCGCTCGGATGGATCTTCAGCGCCGGATATGTGTGCTCATGTGCGACCTGCGAAGACGCCGACCGGGCCCAACTCTTCGGCCGACGACCTTTGACACCCCAAACTCGGCCGACCAGAGTGACAGAAACACCCACGAGTGAGGTGAGTCGAGTTTTAGCCGACGCAAGAGCGACCGCATGGTCGCCTCCGCCCGCCATTAAGTCGGCGCCGACGGCCTCGTGCGCCCGATTCGGCCCGAAACCGGTTTCAAACCATCTCCAGCAAACCCAATTTAACATTTTTAAAAAATTTTATTTGAAAATTTTGAGTTTTTAGGCCGATTTGAGCTCGGTTTGGGCAGCCACGTGTTAACACTGTTCGGGAAAAGTTCGGGAATTCGGTGGCCAAATTTTTGAAATTCTACTCGAGTTCAATGTGGGTCGGCGTTTGCGTTGTTCGAATAAGCAAGCCGTGTGAGCGAGCCTTCGAGCCTGCCTTGCAGTTGCATGGGAACGGAATAAAAAAATAGCTGCCGAAGCACACACACGCATGTTCCTTACTTCCTGTGAGTGAGTTAGTTGCTCGTGTTGGAAAAAAAATCCCCTCCTTGATATGAAATATAAAATGCGAGTGTGTAAACTAACCAACTCGCCTCTCCTCCCCTTCGCGTCGATGTTCACTTCACACAGTCGCGAGTTAAGTATAAAATTCAAAAAGAAAATAAAATGAACGAGAAGAAGTGGATTTGAAAGAAAAATCATAAGTTTTTGTTAAAAAGATATTTTAAAAAAGAAATATAAAATAAAAAATATAAATTAAATTTGTATGTTTTTAAGCAAGTTAAAATTAATAGAATAACCCAGTTAATTACTTTAAAATTTTCAAAAATTTTCTCCGAATCAAAATTTTCAATTTTATTTGCTTGATTTCGGTAGATATAATTTTTTATGTTTAAAGGAATTTTAAATCAATAAAGTAATGTAGTTAACTTTTTTTTACTTACTTTCAATGAAAATTTTTGAATAATTGAAAATTTTAATCTCCAAATTAAAATTTTCTATTTTATTTGTTTGATTTCGATTGATATAATTTTTCATGATTAAAGGGAGTTAGTTAAATTAATAAAATAATCCACAGCAAAATTTTTTTTTACTTCGTTTTAATTAAAAATTCATCTCCGAATTGAAATTTTCAAATTTATTTGCTTGATTTCGTTTGACTGAATACGCCCCTGACCACGTGTTCGCGAATCGGCCGCTCTCCTCCTCAATCTTTCTCGGGAGTCAGATGGAGCCATCATCACAACTTCCTCTCTCCGAAACACATCCTGTCTCTGCAAAGAGCAAAAAATTTCAAGTCGGTCTTCAAATCTCAAACGGCCAAAACATTATTTCCGAAATGGAAACTGGAGCGTTATTTATTTTCAGAAGCAGCGCGTGCTCCCTCAGGGGTGATTTGGTTTCCAGTTTTTTTTTTCAGGAGCCAGGTGTCGTCTTGGTGGTATAATAAGCTGGATAGTAATTGCATTGTTACCAGAGAAGCGCAGCTTGTTCTTTACATTTCGTCTTTCTTTTGGGGGAAATTCGTATTTAAAGTGAGCGCAGCTGCACAACTGCGAGAGCCGCCGCCGCCGAGCACGAGATGTTTTTCTTCACTTTTCAGCTGCTTTCACCTCCCCTTTGCCGTGTCTGTCGCGCTTCTTTGGCCACTCACCCCCAAAACGCGGCGGCGAAAGCATCTGCCCCTCCGTCAAGAAAACAATTTCTTTTGAATTGCGCCACCAAGTTTATCCACAAATCGACAGCTTACAAAATTTCAGACAAAAACCGAAAAAAAGAGGATAATTTTCTTTTTGATTCAACGTGTTTAAATTTTTTTGATTTTAAAAATCTTGAAAATATTGAAAATTTCCAAATTAAAAATTCGTCTTCATTTTTTATTAAATCATAATTAAAGATCTCTCAAAAATTGAGAAAAATTTCTTTATAAGTTTATTTATTTACCAAAATATTCTTAAAATTTAAAGCAAGTTCTGAGAAACGTGCAGATAACGCTCCATGTTATCGCCTGGAGATTTCAACGATCGATTTAGTTTCTTTTCAATTCCAATCTATAATTTAATAATTCCATTTTTTTTCTTTTGATTTTTAAATCTTTTGCTCGTTTCTGATATGGCGGCGGCTTGTGCGTCGGTGACGTCAGCGGTGCGCTCATTTCGAAAAGTGCAGCTGCATCTAATTGCACGCGCACAGTACTGTACTGTTGGCCGCGGCGGCGGCGTTAAATCGAGTGTCTGCATGAATGTATGTATGAAGCCTTCAGCACCGGATGTGATGAGAACCGACCGTCGCCGCCGCCGCATATATGCTGCGCCAGGTTGAACGACCTTTAAACACATTAAGAGAAAACTCCTATTTGGTATTGTGCCGGCGAAAAAAAAAATATAATAATAAAATGGTGCGAGAGAAAGAGTGGTGCTTTATTGTTCTGGCAGCGCCGACAGGCAATTTTTTATTTTATTTTGCGGGCGCGCTTAATTTGAAATTTCAAAGCAATTTATGGTTGGCGTTCTCGTTCTGAAAATTATCCGTTGTGATTCCGGTTAAAATTTTGTTCTAAATTCAAGCTAATTTAAAATTCTGATTTAAATTTTAATTTCACTGATTTGTAAAATACTTTTTTACTTTTCCTTGAAGGTGCATGATTTTTTAAATTTTATTTCTTAAATAAATGAGAATTTTAATATTAATTTTTCTTTTAAATATTCAATGATATTAGATGAAGTTTTAAATTTTTTGTTATTAAAGAGAAATTCAACATTTTTTTATCTTTATTTCTCATAAATTTCATTCCGACGTTTTGTTTCAAATGGCTTAATTTTTACTGCCCTTTGCAAAAAGGGAACGTGGACGAGGCTCGTGGTGCTCGCGTGAAATAGGAAATGATCTCACTCTCGCGTTGTTATGATGTAACGTGATGCACGGCAGCATCATGAATGGTGTGGTTGTTGTTTGCGCCAACGCAAATAACAATTACACACATAAGCTGGCCGGCCAGCCGCGCCACCGTTGCCCGCCGCCGCGCTTATATTTGTGCACCTAGCCTATTTTTAGATGCGTCTCTCCGACCCAAACGGATCGACCGACGCCCCTGCACTCGCGCCAGACCGCTCGGAAAGTGCAAAAAAAATTCACCTAAAAAATTGCAAGAAAAATTAGTTAAATAAAACATGATTTTTTTTTTAATTGCAAAGAGGATCATTTTTTTATTGAAATATTTAGAAAAGTGAAGATCTGGAAAAGGTAAAAATTAGAAAAGGAATCCATCTAAATTTTGCGCTCTTTGAAATCATTGGAGATACAAATATTTGATGAAAAACTGCATTCTGGATTTAAAAATTTCTGTAAATTTGAATTTAAAATCATAGGTTTAATTTATTAAAATTAAAAGTTAATTAATCTTTTTAACATAAACCTCGTGATATGTGAGTTGATGCATCTGATTATGAGCTTGTAATTGATTCAAGTTTACTGGTCCTCGAGTTGGCTCCACTCGTTCAGCCCCGATCTTTTTAGTTCTTTCGACAGCAGTACCGGCTGGGCGTGTAATTGGTGGCGCGTGCCCTCGTAGCCATTATTGCTAAGCAGGTGCAGCATCTTCTCTTTTTTTATCCACTCGATACGCCGCCTGCCGCTTCTTCTTTTCACAGAAGATCCTAGCAAGAATCATATATAAATGAAAAAATAAAATAAATAGTTTTGTGACTCACTTTGCAGCATATTGAGGAAACGGGCCAGACAAATATTGGATTTCGCGTCATGTGACGAATTTGAAGAGACAAATTCCAGCGGGTCGCGCATTGTCGAGCCATGACTCACATTTCGCATTTACGAATAACGAGTTAGCATTGAGCAAGAGCAAAACGTGAGAAAATCCATGAGCTTTGCGAAATCAGCGGAAAAGTTCGGTCTCAAGTTGGCTAAAGGAAAAAAAAGAATTATTTCACAATGAAGTCGCATTGGTTTTTTTTTACGAAATCGTAAGATAATTTTTACTTAAAATTTCCCACCAATAAGGTAAAAATTCTAATCAAATGAATTTCTTTTTATAAATTTGATTTATTTTAATTCTTAAAGTTATGAAAGTCGCGCTTTGGGCGCCTCTCGTTTTTGATGCAAATGGCGCGCCCACTCGCGGGGAGATTTGTTCTCGCGCGCCAATAATTAGCGAACGCGGTGGGTGCCCGTTGGGAAATTTCCAGCGCCCAACATGGTCACCCACCAACGTGCGTACACATTTATGCACGCACCGTTAGCGTGAATATGCAGGCGAGCCCACGTCACACTGCACCGAGAAACAAAGTCACGCCCATTATTTAACTTCACCACCGTGACAAACTCGTAAAAGCAGCGACAAAACTTTAACGAGAAGCATAATAATAAAATATGTGCACAATTTTTAAACTCGCGGGATTATACGGACGGAGCGAAAGAAAGAAAGGCAGGCGTTTTATCCCCGGCCCTTATAAGGCCTCGCCTTGCTCGCTCTCCGAGTTTGGTTGAAAAAAAAGTGAGGCTTGAGAAAGAAAAATAAAAATGCTTCTCTCAAGCCGTTGCAACTAAGTAAGTACTTGGCTAGCTCCTTAATGGCATTGTTTTCGCGATGGGAGGTCGCGGTGCATTTTTTTTCTTTTTTCGAGATAAGAGCTTCACAATTGGGGGCGTGTTTCTCTCTACTCGTTATCTCGGCGACTGCTGAATTTTAAAACAATTTTAATTCTTTAATCTCGAGTCTAATTGAATTGGAAATCACCTGAACTTCCGAAATTAGAAAGCGTTATTTATTTTTTTCCCTCTCGGAATAACGCACCTCCCAAGTTGCAACCCGATCCGAGATGAAAGGAATAAAAATAATTTTAGAGATGATTCTGTTTGCTTTGTCCCGCACCATACCGAGAGAAGCCGTGCCCATGCTCTGGTGCACCTTTGGAATGCAGACCGAGAGTTGAGTGCACTCTCTCCTTTACCTCTCCTCTCGCACAATACAAAAATCCTCTCTTATTCTGGCTGGAAATTTTTATATTTTTGATCAAAGGCCTTCTTCCTTCCTAATGGCACAGACGCAGCGACTAATTAATATAATAGGAAAGAAACTCCGGTGGTCCGACGAGCGTGAAAAAATAAATGGCTCGCAGGGAAATTACCAAGAAAATAAAAAAATTACCTGCAATTAATTAGTTTATATATTAATTTCACGCCTCAAACTATATTTATAATATGCGTGACGTGTTTATTGCATTTTTCTCTTCTGCCGGGTGTAAATTATATATAAAATTTAATATATGCACTTGTAAAGTTGCATTATTATTATTATCGGTTTATTGCAGTAATCTCCTCGTGACTGTTGCTCAACGCGAGATGCATCGCGGGAAATCCATCCTTTGCTCTGTGTGTGACGAGGGCATATTCATTTCAGTGCAATCACGTGCTGACGCGCAACAAGTGCCCTCTCGCTGCCTGGCAATTTATACGTAATATGTACGCGCGATGAAATATTTATTTATTTTTCTTGTTTATTCCGCGTGTGCATGATTGAGAAAGCTCTTTCTGTGAGTGTACGTCGTCGTGCGTGCCCAGATTCCTGGATTCAAAAGAGCGACGTGTCGAGCGAGAGGAATGCAGGCTTAAACGAAATACATGGTAAAAAGAAGGCGCGATGCAACCAACCAAGCGTTGGAATGCTGCTGCGTGCGGAGGAGTAGGAGTGGAGAGGTGCCTCAAAAAAGTGGCTCACAATTGGAAAGGTGAAGAGCAGATTGGCACAGTTAGGTCTCCTATGTGAATTAAAAACTAGCAAACGAAAATTATAGAGAAATCTGCTCCTACGCAAATCTATTCTCAGCTACGTCATAAAGCTCCAAAAAAGGCTAATAAAAATCGTGAAAGGTTTCTTGATTAGCAATGAAAATAAGAAAAGTTCAATTTATTTATTTATTTTTTAATATTTTTACTCCATGAAAACCTAAAAAATGATTAAGAAAACTAAGTTCCAAAATTATGATTTAATTCAATTTTTGTTTTTTGCTCAAAATTGATAGAAACTTGTGAATTTTTGCAAGATTTTTTTTCCAGCTTTTGTGCTGTTTTTTTTTAAACCTCTTTAAATTCACCGTAATTCACATGATTTGGCGATAAGCAAATCAGTGTGGCCTTTTTTATTTTAAAAACACCTCTTTAACTTGAGATTCATACGGCCCCTTGGTTGTGCCCCCAGGGCCCGGCTGGCACTTTGTGATGAAATTTTTTTCCATTCGCCAGCACAGAGATAGGAAATCAGAACAACGCACGATCGGCACGTATGTTTTTTTCTTCTCATTTTATGCGTATTGTTTTTTGGCGAATGCGTGCGAAGGCGAGAGCGCTAGCTCGGCTGTGCGAGATGACCGGAGTTTGACATTGAGCCGCGCGGATATATAATTAAATAGCCACAAGTCAGTCAGTCTTTTGGCCAGTGCAAGCGAGCAGCAGCAACAGCTTCCCTTGCAGTGGGCCCCTCTTTTAAAAGCTCGTCGGCCGCTCTGCCGCCGCTGCTCGGCTATTCTTGTTTGAAAAGAACGAAGAAAAATTCCTCCTCACTTGATTTCTTCTCGCTCTCTGACTGACTGACTCAACTTGACTGACTCGCTCGGCCGGCTCGATTTCGAGAAAGAAAGAGAGAAAGACTCGCCAGCGATGCAGATTCGCGCCTCGCCAATTTGCATTGTTCGGTCCCCACACACACACTTTCGGTGCACTGAAATGGCAAAGGTCCCCGATCGACGGAATTCGCTCATCAACATTCAAAATGTAATGGTAAAATTTAAAAAAAAAAAATCCGGATAAAATAATTAGTTTTTAAATAAGTTGAGTTAATGAAAATTTTAAATTACTACAATTTTTTGAAAAATATTTTACCATTGTTGGAAAAACCGTGCAATTTTTCAATTTTGATGTCGCTCTGCACGCTGGCTGGCGTGTCCTGCCTCGTGATATTTTTTATAATTTTTTTCTTGCGCGTGCAGTGCCATTATTCGAAGTCTCTCGCTTTCTCACTGCGACGGCCTGCACGACGATGATGGTGGAGTTTTTTGCAAGACACTGCGCTGCTGCGCGTTCTTTTCGCCAGCAGTATTTTTATGCATGAGGAGGCGCCCCGAGGGATGGAACGCCGGCCGGGGCCGACCTTTCTCTCCTTTGTTGGTGCATCGGCGAGATGCGTGTCCGCCGCACCACGCGCGGCGCCCACCGATTTTTATCAACAATAAAAGCGTCAATAAAAGGGGCCGCCGTTCGCGCATTATTTTCCATGCGGGCTTTTATCATTTCCCATCGAGCGGCGGCGGCGTCCGATTTCCATTCGAGCGGCGACTTCGATCAATTTGTTATGTTCGCCTGATGTGCACGTCCAATTATGATTCACATACTGCGCAGCAATGGCCTTAATTATACATATTTTACAAGCATAGGAAAAAAATGCATTCTGCCCTTCATGGTGGTGAGGAGCAGTATGTGGAAAAAGTTCCCTCCGGAAATTATAGATAAGACTGAAATTAAAAAGACACAATTTTTAATTATTTAAATATGGCGTAGGAAAGTGAAGAGTAATTTTGAAATTGATTTTATAATGAAATTTAATTCAAATGATGCAATTACACGTCGTTTTTACTGATTGGATTAAAAAGTAATACTTTTAAATTGTAAATAATTAAAAAAAATCGTCCTAAATTATTTAAAAACGTTTTTCTATCTTCCATTCCAAAATTGTTTATGAAAACTAAAGTTATTAAAACATTAATTATTTTTTTTAATGCCAATTCGTTTCACAAGTTCCAAAATAATAGCATTCTCTGCTTTGATACAAACTCTGTGAGCTACTAAATTTGTTAAGTTGTTATGAGAAGAAATTAAAATGTTCAAACATTTAAAGGATTTATGAAAATTTGAATTTTATGTGCCAAAATAACAAAAATTGCTGGAGGTGGTTTAAGAAATTCAACAAAATTTGCATTCACACACGTTGACTGTTTGGTAACAAACGTGTCCCTCTATCTGCTCGTCTGGCATTGCAGGCGAGAATAAGAAATTTGTTAAAAAGTCTTGAGTCTGCCCTCGACGTCTGAGCACCCAAGAGTAAAAGCGCGTTGTTTCTATTTACAGCCGCGGCGAGCACGTGTCTGAGGGTGCCACCATGAAAAATATATCCCGCCAGAGGTGGAGGAAGGCATCGCGTGCTAGCACTCTTTCACTCACCCCCTCAGCCCCCCGCCCGCGATGGGGAGGCAGATCAGAAATAGCAGCCGCCTTGGGCGCATCCATCCGTCGTGTTCGCAGCGAGCGAGAGAGAAAAAGGCAGGTGCTTTTGTACGGCACGCGCGCGTGACTCCGTCCATCTTGGCCCAAGGAAAACGCGCTTGGCTGCAGCCGACAGACAGATGCCCGGCAGACACACTCGCAGGTAATTATGCAACTTGCAATAATGTTTATTTTCGTACTCTCGGTCACGCTTTTTCGCACGCCGAGACGGACAGATGCTCGATTCGCTGATTGGATTCTTTTATTCGGTGCTTTTTGTTGCTCGCGCATTGTTAAATATTTACCGGAAATTGAATTTGGTTTGTCGGGCTCAAGTTTATTGCAGACGGATGGAGCTTTAAAAGTTTAAATTGTTTCAATGTGAAACAAAATTTAAAAAACAAGCCCCTGGAGTGCCAAATTTTAAATCTTTTCATTGAAAATTTCAGCTTTAAACGGATACAAGTTAATTCATCTGTTCTTTAATTTTGCTCATATCGTTTAAATAAATAAATTTATTAAAAATTTGGAACACAATAAAAATATATTAACTGAAGTTTGAACTTTTGAAATATTACATCTCTCGGTATTTTCCTTTATAGGGTTTTAAATTTTTTACTATAGTTTATCTTTGAACTCACTCCATATTGAAACAATCGGCCTCTCCTTCTCTCCCCGACTAGCCGATCACTCCACGCGATGCACCCACATGATTCCCTGCATGTCGCCTCCATCTGGTTCCACTCTCAGGGCGCTTCCGATTTTTTTGCCAAATTCGGCGTCTCGCAATCCCACGTGGCTCTCCGTCAGCAACAGGGCCCGCGTCGTTTTGATTTATCCGGAGCGTGCGTGCAAGCGTAGGTGCTGCGGGCGCCGCGTGCGCGCCATTTCCAACGAGACCCTCATCGTCTGCAGCCGCATTGTGTGCGAGAGAACAGGGCACGCGTTGCACCGCACCCCTTGCCACACCAAATCTAGGGACCGAATTAGCCTCGCGAGTAGAAACAAAAAAGCCAACAGAGAACATTCCGAGTGCGGCGCATTCTTCTTTCTGCCGCCGACGGATTCCGCGCCGAAGACAGACGAGACGGAGAATTGTTATATTATTATCAGGCCTAATCGGCGCTTTGGGCCTATTTTTAGGCGCGCACTCTTGATCATCATTCGCCGCGGCTTCATTAAACACGACGATGCACTCGATTTGCTTTTCCGATATACCCGACCGCCGCCAACGACGTCGCCGGGTTCGGAACTTTGTCTGCTTCCCATTGCAGAGGGGATGCGGGTTCAATAACTATGGCGATGACATCACGTGCATTATTTACGCGAGTCAAGTTCGACTTTGAACGTATAATGAGGGCTATTCAGTTTGACATCTGCCACTTCAATATTTCACTGATAAAAAATTTGGATTCAATTGGGTGTTGTTCATCGTGCAGGGGAGTAGATATAGTTTTTAAATAATAAGAAAAAGTCATTTACCCACCAGATTTAAATAACTCCTCTCTAATGGCCCCTCTTTTTTTAGTAAATATAAATATAAAAAATACATCAATAAGGATTCTTTTATAATTTTTCTATTCACGCCTTTTTATCTTATAATTTAAAATTTAATACAAAATATTTATATATTAAATTTTATTTAAATTGTTTTAAACAATTTCTTCATCAAGGAAAAGCCTGATCTCTTCATTTCCATTTATAATTAAGTTTGAGATATTTTTTTCTTTTCTCCTGGAACTGTTTCACTGAGGCCAGTTAATTTATTTTTAGTATTATAGTATTTCTTTCACTTCAAGTTCAAACAATTAAAACATAATTATAAATTAAATACACAAATATTAATTCTTTTTATAAATTTTTCTATTCAAGCCTTTTATCGCTTTTAAATAATTTAAATGTTAATACAAAATATTTTTAATTAAGTTGGGAATATTTCTCCATTTCTTTTCCTGCAACTGTTTCACCGAGTGAGCTTAGTTAATTTATTTTTAGTGTTATGGCCTTTCTTTCACTTGAAAAGTTCAAACACGCGAGCAATGATTTATTTTAGAAGACGGGAAAAGGCCGCAGCTCCTTTAGGAAGGCCTCCGCAGACTTAATCGGTTATTTCCTCGAGCAGATAAGACGCGCAGGCCCTCGCCGATATCTGCCTTCCGTTTCGTTTTCATTCATTCATTCTTCCCATCCCTCTCCGAGCGAAGAATATAAAAAAGTTTACTGGTGGCTGCTGCGTGAGTAAAAAATCACTCCTACTCGCGGCGGCGGCGTATGCTGGCTGGCTGGGATGCAAGATTATGAATGATCCTCGGCGTCCATTATGGATGACGGTGGGGCGGCGGCGGAATGGTTGGTTAAGTCCCGACCGGATGTTGGGGTCGCTTAACCTTCCCCACTTCTTCCTACCCCTCTTTCTGGCGGCCGGGAAGGCTGTGTGTGTGCCTGCCTGGGTCATCATCGCGGGCAAGCAGCCGTGCGAGTTTAATTTTACGTCAAATGAGCACCACTTGTATGCTCGCGTCGCGCGCCAGGTGCATTTTCTTTCTTCCGTCCCGCATGTACGTGCCCATTGTTATCGCAGGCAGTCACACACAAACGTCACTTTTTGGTGCACTTTGTCGCCGGATGAAATAATTTTTATAGTCGCACACTCATGTGAACTGATGTAGACAAGAATAAACGGCTAAAATTTATTTATTTATTCAAATATAAAAAACGAAGCTTGAAATATTATATTAGTCAAAGATTTAAAAATTTAAAAAAAAAATTATTTTTACAAGAATCAAGTTTCGCATCAATGCATAATTTAATTTTTAAACAATGTTAGTTTTTTAACAATATCTCGAGTCTTCATTAAAATGTCAAAAGTTGAGACAATTTTCAGTAGTTGAAACTATACAATGCAAATTAAATTTTTGAAACCATTCGTTCTTTGCAACTATATGAAATTCGTGATTAAATCTGGGATTATATTTTCTCTTTTCTCCGAGTTCCTTTTACTGGGCGTTTATTTATAAATTCGCCATAAAATTGCCAAGCCCTTTAAAATTGTGCAAAACACACAACCAAACCCTTTAAACAGCACCGTTACAATCTGGGGCATCGGCGCGTCGTCGTGTCAAGCGATAAGAGTCCCTTTAAATTTTATCGTGTGAATGCATGCGTGTAGTGTGTGTGTTTTAGAGTGTCGGATTAAAAATCTGCCGCGGCCGTTGACGACGGCGAAACTCTATTTGCCGTGGTAGGCGCCGCTATCAGCCAGTGGCAGCACAATTATTTATCACCAAGACGACACTGGTTCGAATCTTTGCATTGGCTGCCGGCTCGGAGAAAGAGAGGTTATCAGAGAGCGGCGGCGGGGTCGCTGCCGGCCGTTGCTTGCTCGGGGCTGGGTTTACCACTTATCAGTCGAGTCTCCGAGGCGCCACCTCTGTGTGTGCACGCATTGGTTGCATCACACCCTGCGCTGATAAAACGCCGCTCTCCTTCTCACAAATACAAACTGCGTGTGTGTGTGCACCTTTAATTATATAAAGCCCCACCGTCTGTCGCTCGCGCGGAGAAAAAACGTTATCGCGGCGCTAGAGCGATAACGCCGCCGCCGCAGTCGTCGTTGGTCGCCGTCGGAATTCGGCCGCGGGCACCACGTGCGTGACGCAGGTGCAATTTTTAGTACGGCAATGATTAAATATACGTGTCTTTCCTATTTGTTCACAGGAGCCATCAGGGTGACCTTTTAAGTCTTCCTCCGGTCTGGTGTCTGCAACGCGAAGTCTTACGCGGACGTGACTTTATGTGCTCAAGCGAGTTGCACCGAGGTGTCAATGATCTAATAACAAGAAGAAGAAGTTAAGTTTGTGCGACCGCACTGTTTGTCCTGGCACTCAACGAACGTGTGATAAGTATTGTATTTTCTAACGCTGACCAGAAATCCAACCACTCTTAATATAATAACCTCATTCATGGGAACGTTTTTTTGAACTGAAAAAGTAACGCAGAAAGCAAAGAGACTGATAAGTAAAACAATTAATTTTACTAACTTGACACTAACAGAATGAGATATTTATAATTGAAATTACAAAAATAATTAATATTGGATTAGTTTTCATTAAAGGCAACGTTGCCAATTAATTCTAAACTTATAATTATCAAGGAACTGTTTAATTGGAGCAAGATTTTATCGTTGCCCACTTTTGCATAAATTTTATTTCATCTTGGTGGAACAGGTGGTTTTCATAGTTCACTTACTCCCTTTACTATTTACTAATTATTTATTTCAGGTGGCTCCGTCTGTAATTTACGAACGCCTGTGGAATGAACTCGCAGGGTTCATTTCCTTCTGCGGCTTACTCCTCCTCTGGCTCTCTCTCTCTCTCTCTCTCTCTCTCTCTCTGCGTTTTTTGTGAAGAGAGCAAGCGCAGCCGCTCTTTCTTTCTTTCTCTCTCTCTTTCCATTCAAGAAGAGGAGTTGTGGAATGTTGGGAAGCGTGGCAACCCCGCTCGCCTTCGACACTTTACTCAGGGAATATTTTCAGTGCTTCCAGCACTTCATCTTCTTTTACTTACCTGTGCACATTCCTTCACCGCCGCCAGTCGTGAAAGGAAAGGAGGACTCAGCAGGTTCTTTCATTTCTCGCCGCCACTGCCGTTCGCTCTCGTCGCATTCCTCCACCTGAACTTCCTCCCCTGAGTAAGCACCCCTTCCGTCTCATCACACAGGTGGAACAGAAAATTGAAGAACCGTAAGTAGTGTGTGCAGTCGTCGATCTGTGGTGCTCCACTTTGGACACAAATTCCTCTGCGGGACCACACCCATGTGTGTGTGTCCCGAATTCAAGCGCGATTTGAATTCCTTCGCCGCTCTTCGGAGAGCTCTTTTTATTTTTAGCGGCCGGACGGACGGCGCTCTGTCCTTGCGTCGACAATAGCGGTTTTAATGCAACAGCAGGTACGCCTCCTCCAGTTACACCTACTGTGAGCATGATAAAATCCAACCAACCTGCTGCTATATATGTATATGTGTGTGCTCTCTCGCCAGCTCGCTCGCTGCTTTAGTTAGGCGCCTGATGGTGGGAATGGAATGCTCGTATCTTGCTTGTATTTTGTGGGAGGGATTTATTTCCACACACACTCTGGCTCTATGTGTACGTATGTAAGTACCTATATTCTTGTCCTTTTATTCTCTCTCTCCGCAGCGGGATAAAAGAGACAAAAATTAATTCCCCGCAGATATATCGGAGGACCATGGGAACCAATTTTCTTTGTCAACCTGAAGGAATTCCAGTCGGCGGACACTTTCCTCTTCAACAGGTTGAACTACCAAAATTTAAGTTTATAATCAAAAAATTTAAAAATTCGCTTATACAACCTTTTAATACAATTAGGAATTTTTTTGATAAGGACCGGTGTTAATAATTGTCCCCGAGGATAACGGTGAGCGCACGGGACCACCCATGCTCCTTCATCCTCACTGCCATACACACGTCCATTTTTTACTCATAACAGTCGCGGTGTGCGGTCCGGAGCCGTCGAATGATTCGAACGCAGCGGCAAAAAGCGGCGGCGGCCGTGCTCGTTGACACCTTCCGTGCGTATTGAGGCCGCAGACGGCGGGCGACGTCCTTTCTTTCTTTACTTTGATGTACCGTGAATAAGATTATGTCATTCGGGGGCCGGTGCAGGGCTCCGCAGCTCGGGCTCCTCCGTCAGTAGAGAGCAGCACCGCCGGCCGGTCGGACGGAGCCAATGAACACATAGGAATGTCTCTTGAGCTCTCTGCCGAGGATACATTCTCACGCTCAGAGAGATCAGCCAGCCGAGCAGAGTGAGCGAGCGAGCAGCCCAGGCCAAAAGACTCGCTCCTATAATACAGCTTGGCTGGCTGGCTGGCGGGCCGAGTAGGAGCGCCCACAACTCGTCTCTCTCATATTATGTATAAATGTAATATGCCTCCCCCTTGGTGCATCGGCCACTTTATTGGGCCGCGCCCTTTACCCTCCAGCCGTCCTTTAATTTTCGTTTGTGAGCCGAGAGCCGGCCGCCGCCGCCAGTTCTTTGCCCTCCTTCTCCGGCTGCAAGAATGCTTTGTTGTTTAGAAATGAGTGGAAAAAAATCGGCAGTGGGCTCTGATGGGTTGGACAATTTTGGACGGGGTGAAAATTGTGGTCGGCGAACCGGTTTGGTTTTTTTTTCAATCTTTCGAGTGGAAAAGTGCATTCCCACAGAGATTTAAATGCGTGCAATTTTGTTGGGAAATGTGTGGAAAATGGGGAGATTCCGCTAGATTCTCACACGCGCAAACTGGATTTATTTATTCCCATCCGCTCCCTCCCCCCGCAGGACAGGACAGGGGGTAGTTTGTGTCTCACGCGTTTCTCTCAGGTAGTGTGCTCTCATTATTCTCTCATTGTGCGGCCCCTTCTTGCGTTTTGCATTTCTCAGAAATTCATTGTCCTCTCTGGTGAAAAAGCGCGCGATCCCCTGTTGCCTTTGTTGGTCTTGGCCTCCGCTTTATTTTATTTGTTTCCCACCCTGCCGAGAGAAGAAGAGGAATCTGGTCTTCTGCTCGCGGAGCAGGGTAGGTAGATCGACTCTGTACTCGCATGTATATTGTACACACACATGAAATAAGTAGAGGCGGCGGCAGCGGGGCCATAAGCGAAGCAGCAGCATTCCTTTCAAGGCAAGGAGGGATAAAAAGAGAAGAACTTCTACTTTAGGCTCGTGGGAATGGAGGAAAACCCACCGGCAGCTCTTTATCTGCCTAAATAAGAGAATCGCCGCCGCCACCGTGGCCGTCCAAAGAATCTTTCTCTCCTCTTCTCGCCGCATGCTAATATATTATATTGTTTAAATCCCCCTGTTCCCATTTGTCCCCCTTAATGTGCGTATGAATAATTTTCTTTTTATTTAGACTTGTTGTTATTATTCTTTTCTGTGCTAGCATTTTTTTCCATCTTGCCAATGCCGCCCCTTGTGCCCGAAAGTGGTGTTGCGCAGCGGCAGTCTAGTTTTCTTTCACTCTCTTTCAGCTTTGTTGTTGACAGTCACCCCTTCCAAATTTGAATGGAGGAATTAAGAAGATCTACTCGACGGACCGAGCAACCACTCCTTCGACGTCTTGTTAGCAGACCAGGTGTCATCCAGCTCCTCTCCTGCAGCAGCTCACAAAACTGGCTTTCTCAGTGATCTTCCAGATGCATTTTTAATTCTGAGATCATTGTGAAAGCTGATTTTGTTTATTTTTACATCTTGTGACATCCGTCGAACGCATCAAGCAACAAATCAGCTTTATTATACGAATTTAATGTTGTTTTGATTTTACCAAATGACTCTAACTCTAAATGTTGGCGATTATATCATGTTTAGTATTTTATTGTAAAAAAACACTGACTGTTTCAAATAAATGTTGCTTTTATTAAAAAACACGAGTATCTGTATTTATTTTCACCAAAATTGTGAGCAAATATATAACAAGAAATCATACATAAGTAGAAGATAAAGGAAATCAATCATCACAGCATGATTTTAAATCACTCTAAACTGGCGCACAGACTTTACCAAATTTTGGCAAGAGCAACTTCAAAGACCTTTTTGAACTTCTTGAAACTAAGCTAATATAAATTTTAAATAAATAACAATAAAATGGTCATCCTGGCTAACTGAATACTTGAATTACTTTGACTTCTGCATTAGCAAAATGCGGAACACGAACGCAGCAATCTTCTCGTAGGCCACAAACATAAGTGCTGCGGTAGAAATGGTTTGCAAAATCTTGGCCTCCATGCCCTTGAAAAGTCCTTCAACACCATGAATCCTAAAAAATATTGTTTAATGAGCCTGAATTAAAAATTCAAATTCTATGAAGTTTGATCTTACTTAATGATGTAGACAATGAGCTCGAACATGTTGGCGTTCTTCCTCAAGTTCGGGTAGGTGTGCCCATGCTAAATTCAAATCAACATTAAGTAACATTCAGAATCAAATTTAAATGACAAATACCCTCAGTTTAGCCTGCACTATCTGCAGAGGGTAGGTCGCAATGGTGGCCAAGGCTTTTGCAGCCGCCCCAGCAAAAAAGACGGTGAGGGAGCCAAGTTCTGCGCCGACTTTCTTGCCAGCCATCAATCGCCTCTTGATGGACTCATAGGCCATGAACTGCAAGGAGGGGTTGGTCACCAACAGCAGAGAGGGCATTGTGCCCTTCCACAGGGCAAGGACACCTTCGGTACGAGCAATATACTTGAGACCATCTAAAAATAATAAAAATTTTTGATATAAATATTCCATTTTATTTATTATTTACCAATCAGCCCATTGAATGGCACTTCAGTCTCTCCGTGACTGCCGCTCTTAGCACCAATACCCTTCATTTTTAGTCGGGTGTTCACCACCCAGAGAGGGGTTGTTACGCAAACATTGACTATTCCTATAAAATAAAAAATTCAATTAATATTACTAATCAGTGGCCTTAAAATCAACGACGATTCTTAAGAGATGATGTTTTTATTTATTTCTTCAATTTATTCAAGTAGAAAGAAATGGTCTAAAGAATTTTAAACAATTTTTTTTTACATTTCTTAATTATTTTCTTTTAACATTCATCAAACCAAATGAATACTCTGCAATGTATTCCAAATTTTTGGGAAAGAATTCGTAAATAATATTTTATAAATATTAACTATCAAAAATTGCATCGCCTTAGAATTGTCAATTGAACTTTTTAATAATTTTGATTTCATTTTATGAACCTGCAAGGGCAGCCAGCATCAAGTCTCTGCCTGCATTTTGTTGGGCAGGCTTGGTTCTCATGGACTTGAGGCCGTGGAATGTGTAGAAGTAGACAAAGTTGGAGCAGCAGAGGCTCTGCAGAACGGGCACCATTCCCCGGTACAAGGTGAAGCTGGAATTTTTCCGATAGAAACATGAGTGTCGGTTTATGTTTGCCGCAGAGAAAGCGAGAAGTGTGTCACTTTTTGTGCATTGCCGGCAAAAGAATGAAGTGTATTTATTGTGAGTGATGACTTTACAGAATACGCAGGCATCTGCTGCGTGACCTATTTGAATATGCTAACGAACCGACTAGGCTAGGCCGTGATTTAGCTAGACACACATTCGATTGTCACGCTTTGGAATAAAAATGGGCATAATTATACGCTTGTATTGAAAGGACGGAAAATGGAAACTCACAATCCTTCATCATTGACAAGATCCTTGATCACCTCGACCGTGTTCTTCGATTCTCGCTTTTCTTCCACTGGAATAAAAATTTGAATATTATTTTTTGCTTTGATCATATTACATTTTCTTTCATTTAATTTTTTTTTTTAGAAATTTTGGAAAAAATAATTAATAACCAGAGTACTGAATTTATTGTATTGAAACAATTAAAAATAAAATGAGATTTGTATTTTGTTGATTATTTTGCTTACATTGGAGTCGAGATCGCACAGTATCCAAGGGGTAGAATGTGGCCATAGCCACCACGCTTCCCTGAAAAAATTATAAATAATTTTGAAATTTTTCTCATTATATTTTTGGAGTGCAAAATTTAAAAGGTGCAAAAAATTTTAAACTGCAATGAAATCAAAGGTTAAAATGTAAAGCAATCTTTTATCTTTATTTTTTAAATTTAAAAGATAAAAATCTGGACTATGAAACTCTAAGATATGAGTGGAGGTCGAAGTCGAAGTCGGTTTTATGCTCAATTATTAAACCTATTAAAGATAATAATTAACAGCCTCTGTGCACTGCATTATTACTCAATTACTGCACCAGTGAGATTTATTTTTATGCGTTGATAAATACGCCAGGCAATTAATTACTAAGTTCTGCTCTGCATATCACAATGTTAAATTTTTTTAATTTTGAATGCATGACTGGGCACAATATTTTTTAAATAGCAAAAAAATTAGGACAATGCCCAAACTTTCTAATAAAAGAGAAATCAATTTTGCATCAACTTGGGAATTCAATGAAAATTTGCACATTTCCTAATCAAATTGACAATACCATCTACAAACTTTCTACTTTTCTCGTCATTTTGCAGAATTAAAAGATCCTAATACAAATTTGTGCGAAAAAAAACTGCGAAAATTAAATTACCGTGGCTCCAGCGACTGCATGAACCAAAGTTTTGTAGGTGAAGAGGTTGCTGAGCCCCGCTGGTTTCGAGTGCGACATTTTGGCGGAGGTCGAGTACCGGTGGCCGAAAGATGGGCCGAATCAGTCGGCGTGCCTCCTAAGATGAGATCGGCCTTTCGAATTCAACTCTGCATCCTTGTAGGGGACGGAGAAAAATTCATCAAATCGGCTGCGGCCGAGCGAGAAGAACTTGACAGGCCTGCAAAAAACAGCAAGGCCGACAGCGCTGATGTCTAATGCGGTCATTGCGGTCGCAAATCGTACTACGCCCATCCTAATTTTTTTATTTCGTTGCCAACATAGAAGTATTTTAACATGAATATTAGATGAGATTTCTCCTTATTAGTGAAATTATATTTAGTCAAAAATGTAATAAAACCGCCTCAAAAGTAATAAATTTGAAAGTTTTTAAACATTTTCTTCAGGTTACAAAGCTTTGAGTTAAATTTGAAATTCCAAAATTTCTCAAGTTTGTGGCAGTGAACGCCTAGCATGCGAACTGATTATTTTGTAAATAAATGCCGCAGTAAAAAGGTGTGGGGTGTGTATTCTGTTGCCTTGGTATTTTTGCCGGTAAGTTAGCTCGCAGGATTGATTGAAATTAAGTCGGTTGCAAAATTAGTGCATGGATTTTAGTTTATTTCGAAGCAACGCGCAGTCCTGATCTTTGAAGTCAAGCAAATTCGATTACGAAATACTCATTAAAAGGTCATTAAAAGTCAACTTTGAGAAGTGACTCAGATCTGGATGATTGCTCACGTTTTACTTGGAACTTGTCTCGTGTTTGTCAAGTATTGATTTTTGTGAACCGAGACGATTCTCCAATTTCAACGTGTTTTATGGACTCGCTTTAGTAAGTCTGTGTGTAGATTTAAAACATAATTCACTTTTTATGACTGATCACATGTACAATCTGCACTGTACAGACAGAACCTGGAGTGTTCATAATTTAGAAATCATTTTTTTTTATCCTAAATTTATTGCGGCAAAATTCCATTCCTTAATTTCCACGTTAGGTTTAGGTTCAGTGAAATAAAATTAAATTGTTGTAATTATTATTTTAAATCCTTAAATTTATTTAGTATATAATGTCAAAAATAATTTCAGATTGAGATGGCTGGGGCGTTGGAAGAAGTTCGTGCCGAGGATTTTCTTGAATATTTCTTATTCCCAACGGAAAACGATTTGAACACAGCTCTCGACGAGGTCAATTCCAAAGTTAAAAATTTCACAGCAGATTACATTTGGCACAAGGATCCGTTTCATTTGAAGAGAGCTGAATCAGACACTAGCGGTAAAGTCTCAAATTTTCTCAAATTTTAATTGATAATTTGCACTATGTATTTATGACAGATTTGAGCACTCCACATTTGCACGGCATAACTCATTATGGCGACAACATTGAAGACGAGTGGTTTATTGTGGCCCTTCTTCAACACCTTACATCAGAAATTTCAGGGCTGGTTGTTAGGTAAATCTATCAATCAAAGATAAATTAAAAAATTACTGATTTTGAATTTAACGTACTATAGAGTGGAAGACAGTGACGGAGAATTTTTGTTGATCGAAGCTGCAGACCACTTGCCTAAATGGGCCACACCCGAAAACTGCAGCAAGAGAGTAAATGAACTTTTTAAATTTAACTATACATCATTTAATTTAATTTTATCGCAGGTCTATATTTTTGGAGGCTGCATTCATATTGTAGCAGAAAACGACAATAATTCACAGAGCCTCAGTATTGAGAAGTGTGTGGAGGTTGTGCGAAACCAGAGGCAAATCACAGTGGCCTCTGAGGGCATTCAAAATGCCATAAATTCCAGGACAAAAGGGTAAATAATTTTTTTTCAGTCTCCTCAAATAAATTAAGAAACCAGAAGAATTTTTAAGAAGTAAAAATTTAATCAAACATTTAAAAAAATTGAAAATTATTTCAAAGGTACCCAGAAAAGGCAAAGCAGACAATTCACTATACCAACGTATACGTTCCTGCGACAGTCGCAGCTCTACTAGAGGTCAAACCTCAACTTGTCGCACCTGCAACCGTTGCCTTTTGTGATCGAGACATGATTGATACTAAAGTAAAAGCATTATATTATTATGTTTATTTTAATATTTAAAATTTCCTCAGGCTTGCAGAGCCATGCGATTTTTCCCACCAGAAACCAGGGTCCTTACCAGAGTGGCTTTCACTCGGTGCCTTTATGCAGCTCTCGTCCGGCAGCGTTTCACTCCCGACAGGAGAACTGGCTGGTCACTGCCTTCCTTCAACTCTCCAGAGTTTGCCTCGCACGAACTAGGTGCCAAACTGGCGTCCGGTTTTGAAATTTTGGTGGCGCGAGCTAAACCCAGGCAGGGAGAAGATAGTCGCGCTTGGCAGCTTTATGTTGAAAAACTGAGGAGTCGGGGATATTTCCAAGTAATTATTTGTTTTATGTTGTGATGTAGCTCTAAATGAGTAATTTCAGGGGCTGCTTGAAGGATCTAAAGACCACTCAGTGAAGCTCCAGGAAGCTAAAAAGTACTTTACTGAATTTGGAGCCGAAACTGGAGAGGCGGTTGGTGAATCTATTTTGGCTCTTCTGTCAAATATGGATGTAGATGTTGACAAGCTGAAAGCAAAGGAAAAGTTGTTACCAGAGCCAGACAGTGCGTTTTACTAATTTTGAATCAACAAAATAAAAATTGAAATAAATCTTAAAGGTGATTCATGGCTTGAGATTACGTCCGAAGAGCTCGACGAGATGTTGAAAAACAGATACGGCACGGAGAGGAGTAGTTTTCCTGCAGGCTCGCATCCGTCACAGATTCCTGGCCAGCTGAGCAAATTTTTGGAGCACATGAGTGGTCTTGACGGAGTTGAATTCCCAGGGTAAATTTAAAATTTTTCTCCACAAATTTTTCATTTAATTCAACTCCTGCTTTTATAGCAATGGATCCAGCAGTCCACCGGTCCGTCCACAGAGAGGCGTCAAAAAAGGGAAAAAGTCTAATGCTATGGACACCAGTGATGACGAACATACCAGCAGTCCGGCTCGAGGCCCAAAGATCGATTTCAATCCTGACGCTTTTGCTTGTGCAGTGCAAAATATCCTTGGTGAGTACTTAAAAAAATAATTGCTTTCGTTACTAATGAATATCATCAGATTTTGCATTGCCTGACGACAATTGGGACTTGGAGTCGAATTCGGATATGAGTTCTTTGGGTGAAGAGGATGAAGGTGAGGTTGATGAATCCAAGAGAGGAAAGGTGGACGAGAAAATTAAAAAGTACATGGAACAAATGGATGCTGAACTGGCAAAGACCACCATTGGAGAAAGCTTTGAGAAAAAGAAACCAGAGGTATATTGAATTTTTTTTATTGAGAAACACTTCTAACAATGTTTGTAATTTTCAAGGCCCCGGAGGATAGTTTTGATGACATTGAGGACTTCAAGCCTGTCGATATTGATTTGAACGCGCTAAAAAATGTACTTGCTTCGTACCAGTCAGAAATGGGAGTTGGTCCAGGACCTGCCTCGTCGCTCCTCGGACCTATGGGAGTCCACTTGGAAACCATGCCTACCGATGCCTCCAGGACAAATAATCAGTAGTCCGTTTATATTTTATATGCATATCACAAGTTACTCGCAAAATAATCTTGCATTTCACCATTTTTATATTTTCTCTAGTGCCATTTATGCACAATAATGTCTGTAAAAGACTTAAAGATCTCGTTTGAAATACGGACTCAAAAATTGTCTGTCAAATAATATTTTTTACCCTGGATTCACTCTCTGTCAGATTTTGGTCGCTCAGATTTTGATGTCGACACACTCAATGTATTATTTTACTGAATGTTTTTTTATATTGAATGGCAATAAAATTGATGGAAACACACAAACTGTAGGACACATTCAAAATGTTTGTAGTAGCATTTAATTAAACAAAGGTGAGAAAATTTAAATTATGTGCCTCATTTAATAAAATTTACTTGTTAATGAAAATGATTCAAAATATATTGCGATTAGTTTAATTTTTTACTCTTTTTTTCAGCATGAAAATCAATTGTGTAATGTTGGTAATGAGTCATGGTGCAAGACTGCAAGTTTACGTTGGTAACTCTGATAACAGAAACAACACTTGACACACGTGGGTCGCTTTTTTGTTTTCTGTGAAAATCAAAATCTAAAAGTTGCCAAAATCAAATTGTTTCTGCGCCAGCTATGGTCGACAATAAGCTGAACACTGGCTCTGTGAAGAAGGTGCACCTGGCCCATGCGAGAAAAGAGAAGACCGAGAAAATCGTGAGCAAAATCAAATCTGAAGAGGCGGTGAAAGACGGCGGCGGCGTCAATCCACCTCCTGCGAAGAAGCCCAAGTTAAAGAAAAAGCAGAAAAAGAATGCTAAAAATCCTGATGCTGAATCTGCAGAGGAAAAAAAGGAACCGAAGGTTGAAAACGGCGAGAAAAAAGAAGTTCTGAGGAGGCCGAAAAAGAAGAAGAAAACGATCGCGAAAGAAAAGGTCGCTAACATTGCAAAGACGGAAGAGCTCCAAAAAGAGCTCCAGCAAAAGGCGACTGAGTACCTAAACCTATGGAAGAATGACAGGAAAAATTGGAAATTTGTCAAAAACCTACAGACTTGGCTTGTTGCTAATGTTTTTGACGTGGAGAAGGTAAACACAAACTTTTAATTTGATTGATTCTTAATAATTATTAACTATATATTAATTTTTTTCAAGGTGGACAATGATTTATTCCAAATCCTCGCAGAATATTTGAAGGGCGCAACTGGCAATATTAGAGAGAATGTGGTAAAAATGTCAATCAAAAGGGCTCGAGAATGCACACTGAAGGTTGACGTTGAGCCTGAGGAGGTGAAAATAATACTTTTTGAGAATATGCAATAAATAACTTAGTTTTAATTGCAATCAGGATGCGGACACATACCAAGAAATTCGTTCCAGATCCAAACAACTCATCAAACTCATGACCTCCAAAGAAAAGTCCAAGAAGCAGGGTGAAGCTCCTGACAGAGAAGGTAAAAAGAAATTGTCAAGAAGGAGGAATGACAAAGGCAGAAGCAACAAGTTTGGACTCGGAAAAGAATCAAAACCAAAAGTTACTCAGAATAAAGAACCTGAGTCTGAGGACAAAGAAACTCCAGCTCTTGAAAAAGCTAAGAAGAAGAAAGTTGTAAGTTTTGTTGATGAAGAAGTGCAGAAAACTACAGATGCAAAATCATCACCTAAGAAGAAAAAGAAGCCCAGCGAGAATGCAGCTCAACCTTCCGTGGGGGAATCTCCACGGAAGAAAAAGAAGGCCAGCATTGGAGAAGAAACAAAAGAAATTGGAGGAAAGAAAAAAGGTGCCGCAATTAATGGAGGTGTCAAAAAGGCACCAAAAAGGAAGGCAAAGAAATAATCCAGAAATTTGTTTACAGAGAAGTACAATAAAATTTTTGTAATTTAACTGGACACAACAAATTATAAAATACACTCAAATTTTAAGTTTTATAAAGTCTATTTTTTATTATTTTCCTTTGCACGTAACATGTTAGATACTCGAACAAACAAAAATGCAAAAGTTTCGATGTTGCAGCTTAAAACAAATATTCTGTCAAGACGACCAAGTTGGCAGAATTAGGATCTGTTTTGAGAATTTCCAACAACCCGATTGTAATGACGCGACAGAGATACAAGAGATAAGCTCATCAACATAACAAAATTTAAGATTTTTACTTCTTGGGAGCAAGTCTTGATACAAATGACCTCAGTTTATCAGCATCCTGCAGTCCGACCATCCTTTCCTGTTCCTTGCCACCTTTCATTGAAATTAACACTGGGACTGAAGTAACCTGAGAGAAAAAATATAAATTAATTTATAATAAAAAATTAATAAAAGCTGAAAACAGCTCACATCATATTCAAAAGCCAGATCTGTAAGCTCATCAATGTCCACCTTGGCCAAATTCACTTTTCCATTTTCCTCGGCGATGACGGACTCGATCCTCGGGGTTAATAGTCTGCAAGGTCCACACCACCTTTCAAACAAAATTACTGTCAATTTCCCTCTGTAATTGAAAATAATCAATGTCATCTTACGTTGCAAAAAAATCGACCACGACAGGCACCTCACTGTTGAGGACTTTGTCCTTAAAGTCGTCCATGTCTTGCACTTTGAACGAATCCCTGAGGACGGAGGATGTGCCGATGCCCCTGAGTGCAACCTGATTGCGAGCCATGCACCTCAGCACGGAGGTTCTCTGCAAATTTTGCATCATCCTGACTCCGTTTTTGCAGAACATCTTGGATATGTGTAGTGAGAACGCAGTGTGTCGGCGGACGGCGGCCCTTCAAGTGCAATGCAAACTTTCTCCCGAACCGAGTCAGCTGATCAAGGTAAACAAAAAAGATGGCCTCTCCGTTTCACGCCGAGGAAGAAACCTACGGCACCGGCGGCTCTAGAAATAAGCCTTGCAGGACGTGTACGGACTTCAAAAGCTGGGCGTCCATGCAGAAGGCCAGCATGGACAAAAACAACAACAAAAAGTCGCAGGTGCTTTTCGGCATTAGTGAAAAATTTTCACTCAAAAATTGCTTACGTAATTTACCAGGCCTCTGTAATCATATAATTTAATTAATTTTTGTTCAAAGAAAGCGGCCCATTTATCCTATTTATTGTTTATTTTTTCTAAAAAAAAAATAAAAAAATACAAAATTATTTTTAGTATTAAAAAAAATAACTCAAAAACGGTTTTGCTGATTTTTACAAAGAAAAACAATTGGTTTATATACATACATACACTAATGCATTTTTAATTTTTTACAGGAGTCACCAAAACCGATTATAACAGAATTACTTGACCAAAGAAACAACTGTCCAGTTGACAAAGACCAATTAGGTGTGTAAACATCAACAATATTTTTTTGTGTAAATTACTTCTTTAAAAGATAAACTTTTAAATAACATCTACATTATGTATTCTCTATTATTTTTTTTATTAATTCTCCTTTGCCCATTTCAGGCCGTTCTTCGTGGACATTCCTTCATACAATGGCAGCCTATTATCCAGACAACCCTTCAACAAGTGAAAAGCAAACCATGACCCAGTTTTTGAATTTATTTTCCAAAGTGTACCCTTGTCATATTTGTGCCGAAGACTTGCAAAAAGAGTGAGTTTGAGTTTTCGAATCCAACATTATGAAATTAATAATAAGTTTTTATTAGTTTAAAGTCGGCACCTCCAGATGTGTCGTCGCAGTCAGCCTTTTCCAACTGGATGTGTCAGCTACACAACAAAGTCAACGTCAAACTTGGGAAACCTGTGTTCGACTGCAGCAAAGTGAACGAGAGGTGGAGAGACGGTCCTTCGGATGGATCATGTGATTAGTGAGTAAAAGACTATTTTTGCAATACACTTTGCAGAGAGAGAAGAACACAAAGAAGTAGTATTTTTGTGAATATTTGCTTTTTTGCAAAATAAATTATTCCATTTTTAAGTCAATTTTTATTATGTTTGAAATTGAATTTAATCATAATACCTTTATAGAATTTTTAAAATTTTATAGGTGAAAAATAAATTAAAACAGCTCATTTAAACTTATATCATTTTTATTGTAATTATATTTTTAACATCTCGCAATGTTAAATAAGATTAGTGATTCCTCGGCATTGATAAAGTCAATTCACTGCAACCCATAGTATGAATGTGATATGTTCAACATGTTCCTTGTCAATGCATCATTTCCAGCATGCACAGTTGCAATTTACCAAGTTAGGCCTAAACAATTCTCTGTCTATAATCAATCAATTATTTGAACAAAATGGTGATTGCTTTTGAAGAAGAAGCCCTACGTCGTAAAACGCTAAAGGTTTAGGTGGGGATTAAATATTTAACCCGGATGTCTCAAAAACGCTTTTCCATTGTCGGATGATTTTTGTCTTTATTTGAATGAAAAAATTATTCATTCTTATAGTTTTTAATTTCAAGGTACTGGACTCGCAGTGAGCTACTTTATTTTTTTTTTCTCTAATTGCAATGTTTCTTCATCTAAGGTGCTGAACAAAATCTCACTTGAGGGTCGTTTTACACTTGATTTTTTTAGGGACATTGATTGATTGATTTCAAGTTTGATTACTAAAAACATGGCCTTTTCCCAAATTTCATGACACAAATATACGTTTGAATGTTTCTACACAACAAACGATTGCGTCAACATCAAACTTGCGTCGCTTATATCATATCACACATTTTGATTTTTAATGACAGTTGAAAAATTATCTCTTAATTTATTACCCACCCCTAAACTGCAACATGTGTGCGTCAATCACATTGAGAAATTATACAATTTATATATTATATTGATTGATGAACCAGCACAAACATGCACGATTGAAACATACAAAATTTGTATCCTCGTCCACAAGTTCACATCTAGATTTTGTTCAATACTGAGACTGCGAATATATCATCATTTACAAATATGGTTACTTTGATTATAAAAAATTATGCAAAAAACATGTACATCGCCTACACTTTACACCTGATGACCTGAATTTTACACACAGTTGGGCACTCCATTACAAACTTTGTGGGCAGGGATCCATTTGTCTATACAGTTAGTTTTATCCTGAAATATACACATTTATTTTGATCTCTCCATTGCAATGCGTAAATACACAAAAGGGCTACACACATCAACAATGAATTCATGAAAGGTTTGCAGCTCATCTAACCAATTTTTAACTCAAAGTGCTCACTTGTAATTTAATTTAAGAGTTAATAACAATTTGAATACCTTTTAATTATTGTCAAATTTAAATCTAGAGCATGAGGCCTTTCTTTCTAGGAATAGGATCGCTTCACTTCTTATTATTGTCTACCCCTGTTGGAAGAAAAACAATGTTTTTTTGTTAAATCCTCTCCTGAATTCTAATTAACTTAACCGCCTTTACTGTTTGGTGTTCACATGGAAGGCCTCACACTGTAGCGGATTTGCTATTTAATGTAAACAAATTCGTGCACATCCTGCGTGCCTTTTGCTACCGAGTGAGGGAAACTAAAAGCAGCACATCTCTCTTTTATCTAAACATTGAGCTTTATCAGGCCACCAAATAATATGAATGTCAAAATTACTGGCCATTGGGTTACGCCACAAACAACACTAAGCACCTTTCATATAGTTTCAAAACGACCTTTTTCAAAAACAAAAAGGTTAGTCTATCATCACACAAAGGGGCGAAGGAGACGAGTGATACAAATGTAGATGAGTTTTCATTCAATGAGAAATTTAGAAAAAATAAGCGCAAATTTTGGTCCGATTTTTTATAAAAACTGGACTTATGATTGGATGTTAATTCTAAGCTTTGCTAGCATGAAAGACTGTTTTTTTGAGGAATATAACAGTATTAAGTGAATATTGCCTCCTTAAAATCCTGTTTAATTTTAGGTGATTGCTATCTGCTTGAAACGAATTCAAAATTCGCTCTCTGCTACTGAAGGAATTTTAGTATTTTTTTCAAAAAGCATGCGTTCTATAATACGATTTCTTTCAAAAGCATTTTGCTATGAATGAGAAAGATTTTTGAGAATTGAAGCAGGGTATCCAAGTCAGTCTATGTTACATGAGAGAGAGATTTGTTGTGAACGAGTTTTGCAAAAAGCTGCAGCACTATTATTGAACACAAAAATAACTTCTTTTTTCGTATGATATGCAGGTGAACACTATTGGGATACAAAGTGAGTGAGTGTGTGCTCGAGTACAAGTTTTTTTTTTTTTTAGAGAGTCATACTATTACAGCAGAGAGAATGGAATACACAATTTATTACTGTATAATTTGAGCGCTAATACACGACATGACACAAAATTAATGAATAAACAACTCTTGGTTTGATTTCTCCCATTTTGTACTTGTTAAAAAATAACCGACTCGCTCCACAGACACGATTTTTGTTTAAATAATAAAATTATAAAAACTTCACATTTATATAGTTTCTTACAGTCTGCCCTGTGGCGAGTTGACGAGAATTAATTCCTGAACAATTAATTAATTAATTGATATCTAGAGACATAAACTAACACACACAGCACCATTTTATATATTAAATACATTTTGAAAGATTCTCGTATAAGCTCAAATTTTCCATTTACATAATACATATAGCAGCTTCTGTAGTCCCTGATTTGAAATTAGGCTACCTCTCCTAAAAATCGTTACCTATAAAGAAACGTGCTCTGGATTGGGCCATTTTTTGGTGCAAATTTGTTTTCAACTCTCTATTAAAAATTTAATCAGTGAGCAATTGGTAAACATATTATATTTTAATCTTTAATAGGTTCCAAAATCCAGAGCTCGTCACTTGACACTTGACAGCTGTAAGTACTCTGTTCTGATCTCTCACTTATTAAAAAAGAAATTAAACACAAAACACATCATTATTTTTTCTTTCTGAATACAAAATTAGCCACGGCGAAGATTCTGAGCATGCAAAAATTGACACTTTCCTCTCCTCAATAAATGTGTGAGTTTTTTTTCGTATTTCTGTGAAAAGTCCTTGTGTGCTGCCAACAAGTGCACAAGTTTAGTTTTCTGCTTGGGATAATTGATAAAAATGTGTGTGTTTATATCGACGAGCGCCTGCACAGGCCCTAAATGACTTGGAGAAAATCTCGAGAGAATTTTTGATAAGGAAGAAGCTCCTCAGTTTTGACTTTGGGCGATGGCTTAGAACAGCAAGAATCCGACCCTCGTGCGTCGAGAGTCGCCCTTGCTCCTCCGAGCCATCCCCAACTGTCATATGCTCGGATCGCCGCCTCCGCCCGCCCCCATCTTGCCGCCGTCGGCACCGCCGCCGCCGCCTCCACCATCGTCGTCTCGTCCGAAGGAGTTGCCACCGCCCGACGAGTTGCGACTGTTGCCGGAGCCGTCCAGACCTCGGAAGTCAAGGTTGTACTGAAGCATAAAATGAGATCAAGTTAGAAAAAAGATCAGACTCACTTAGATTAATTAATTAAAACAGAAATCAGTTATATTACAGAAAGTGCAAGTAGTGTCAAATTAGCTACAAGAAGAATAAGAAGGAAAATAGTAATGAGATTAAATATTTTGTATTTAATTTTCGCGTAAATAATGGAAATTATTCCGGTTTGCTTTTATATATCTATAATACTTTTTATTAATGTTGCAATAAAGTAGCTGATTTCCCCTTTTCTTAAATTAATTTTTGTAATTGGAAAAATACCATTTCTCATCAAGTCATTAAGCCCAGATAATTTCAAAGCAAGTGTTGCTCTGCATTTGGAGAAGGCAATATACAGTCACTGTAAAAATTTATAGAAGATTTGGATGAGAAATCACTCAATATACTGCCAAATTCTGATGAATTCAGTAGGAAATAATTATTGATATAAATAATTATAAAAAATTTAACTAAATTTTTAGTTAATTAGATTAATAAAAGAACCTACAAGTAATTTTAATGATATGATATACATAATTATATTTTCAAAAATAAAATTTGTATTTAACTTTGTTTTTCATTAGTTTAATGCATTTAAAAAATATAAGCAGTTTTTATTATTTTCTCTTTTCTTATTTTGATTATAATAATGTTAATAATTTTATTTTATAAGAAGGTATTCTCCATCGTTAAACATCAAAATCAAAGTTACACAATTTATGATGCAACTCTACAATTGTAGATTTTTGTTAAATTAAATTGAACTAGAGACATAGGCATTTCAATTTTTATAAAAATCTTATTTTGTGAGAAACAGCAAAGATTAATTGTAAAGTTTATTCACATAGGTTAATTAATTATAAAACCGGATGAATAACAAAAAATTTGAAAAAAAAAAATCAACAAATGTCCACAACATCTGAAATCGTCCATAAAGAATTAAAATAGGTGAAGTTTTATAAATATTTGCTTATTATTGTAAGTGGCTCGAGGTTTCACAAATCAATACTCAAAAGCAACAGCCGGTCCATAAAGCTAAATAAGCCTTCACAGCAGTCGGCGCGGCGCCGTTTCGCGAAAGCAGAGGCAGCAGTTAGAATCGCAAAAAGCAATCAGAAACTTACCCTCCCTCCCTCCCTCCCTTCCTCCTACCCTACACACACTCATACATATATTGTTTGGAGCAATGGATAATTACACTTTAGATCGGCGGTGCTCCTCCGTCCGTCGATTCGGCAGCTATATCTCTTTTATAGCGGCATGAGTTTGCTTTTACTGTTTAGAGAGGCCAAAATATTGCTGATGCTCCAGATTTTGGTCGGATATGTGCTTTCAGCCTGAGAGCAACGAGCCCCGTCTGCTCCGTTGTTATTTACGGACGTGTACGGAAAAGTTGCTGCCATCATTTTTTTATACGCACAAACTTTGGAATTCCCCACGAGAGACAGAACAAAAGGAATTCTTGCTTTTGTCCGACAAAGTTTTGTGTATTTTGTCATTTTATTTTTATCACGACCTTCTGTAAAAATAACGTTGCCTCCAAAAGCGTTAGGTGGGGTGTGGAATTTTAATTGCCAACGCAAGGGAAATGGTCCGGGTTAATTAATTGGTGGCAAATCGCAGCAGCAAAAGAATGCGTTAGAGCAGGCGAGCAAACACCACACGATTATTTCGAGTTTGTTAGTTCGAGCTTTTGGGCCAACCTTTCGCGTTTTTCGACTAGTCGATGGATTTGAGCCGCGATATCGATTGAGGGCGGTGCAAGGTGGGGAACAACCACGAATCCATCCCCTGCGAGGTGCACTTTATTTGCTCGGGCATCAACAATGTATACTGCAAAGGTGGGTGTAGAAAAAAGGTAGAAATTTATAGAAAGAAAACAAATAAATTTTGAAATAGAGGTTCTTCAAAGTGAGTCAAAAAGACTTTTTCTCCAAATATTTTATAGAAAAAAAATTTGAAATTGAAAATAAAAAATTTTTGTTTAATCTAGATAAGTTTAAACTCTATGTTTGTTCAATTGACCCAATTGACTAAATCGCACAAGATTAATATACATAACTACGGGGCTAATTATTTAACGTATTTTAATATTGTCAAAAGATTTTATTTTTACCTTAAAATATAAAAAATTAGCCTGGTTATAAAATAACTACATAGTAAGAGTGACAAAAACCAATTAAAAATAGGCAATATTTTAAATTAAATATGTATACAAATGCTTCATTTGATAAATAAAAGATTTTATTTATAATAAGTTGTAGCAAGTGAATTAAAAATAATAATTTAAATAATAGCTTAGAAAAATGAAATTCAATGCAACATTAGTAATTTTCAAAGGGATGCTTACTTTAGTCGCGCACATGAAGCAAGTGGAGACAACTTTAGCAATGACGTTCATCAGGCTCTTTGTCTGCGTGATGACGGCGTCGACTTTGTTGAACGTGGCCGCCTTGCCCACGGTCGAGATCTTGACGGTGAACTGCAGTTGCTGGACGTGCGTGGGCACCCCGTCCAGCTGCGCCAGGAGCTCCTTCTTCGGGCCTCCCTGCGGCACCTGGTAGCTGAACTGACGCACCACCTTGTACAGTCTGTTGGCCTCCTCTGCAAAGTACTCGGCCTGCGTGAACAGGTCCTGCGTCGTTTTCAGGGCACCCTCACCCCGAGTGAACTGGTACATACTGAAATTTATGGATTTTTTTCGGTTTTCATAAATTTTTTGAAAATTGTTCTCTCCCTAGAAATTAAAAATAAATTGGAAATAAATAAATAATAATGCAACACATCTACATGCTAACTTAGGCCTAGTGCTAAATTAGCGATTTGTAAAAATTGTGAGTAATTTTTGGTAATTTCATAAAACAAGAAAAAAATGTTGATATAAGGCTGATATTTCTTTTGCATTCAAGTGCGAAAACTAATACTAAAAAACGAAATCTTAAAAAAGATTTGCCATTGGTGAACTAAAATATCATCTTAAGTTTTGTAATTGTTCTAATCCTATTTGTTTGATAAACATTGCTGTACCTGAAAGCCATGGAAGACATATTTTTCGCCCTCTTGACAATATCGTTGTTTTCATGCTCCATCGCCGACCCTTGGCCGCCCTGACCGCCAGAGTTACCCGAATGAGCACCCTCTTGCTGCCACCTGTCAGTTTCCGCGTCCATTTCAGACGTGATAAGCTTCATTTCCAGGCCGGCCTTGGCGATTTTTGCTTGCTCCTGCGAGTTCAGAATTAAATGCGTATTATGATTGCTCAAAATAGGACAGGTGGCAACAATTACTTCTGAGTCCAATATTGACGGTTTCAGTGCTTTACTTGTCGTTCCGTGTTTCTGAAAGTATAATAATTTTTATGAAAAAAAATTATTTTGAATCTTGTGATATAGATTTCCCTGGACAATTAAAATTAATTATGAAATTGAGATGGAAAAAATAATCAGTTTTAAATCCTAAGACTATTAAGATCTTTTCTGTTGCGACTATTAATAACAATGCCAAAAACACTTCTATTAAAGTAGGCAACATACGCGTCCTGCGTGTAGAGATTGTTGCCTACTTTACACTGATCTAGTAGAATTTGAATCTAAATTTGAATGTCTGAGAATTATGACACAACTCGTTTTTAAAGAATTCAATGGATGAATGAAAATTCGCAGTTTATTTTCAGCTATTCTGCAATTGCATAAATCAACTTCAAAATGTTCCTCAACTTTAAAAAAATTTATTTTTTAGGATTAAATGTTTATAACGTAGCCGTGTGCTTGCTAAGCTTACTAGCTCATTTCTAAAACTTTATCTATTTTTGTTGACTATCAGCTTCATGACCTACAGCACGAAATTTTAACTTTTTCCCTAAAAATGTTTATAATTTTGAATAAACGAAAGTAATATAATTTGGAAAAACTCGAAGCTGAAAACTGGATGATTGACGGCAGAGATACACTCGAATAAATGAATTCCAGCAGTTATCCGTGTGCTGCCGGATGAATTCGCAATTAAGCCCAAGGGGCATTGATGCAAAAAACCGTAACAGCCGATAATGACCGCGTAACGTTCGACGCAGTCATTCATCCAGGAGAGCGAGCAAGTAAGCATCTCATATTCCCCGCGAGGCAGGGCAAAAAGCACACATGCATCATCATTAGGGGCGGATTTTACGCTGCCGACGGCGGTGCCGCCGCCATTTGAATACAAACAGAGAGAGAGTCGCAGCATCCCATCATCCATTGGGCCGATTATTTTTAGAGCGTTTTGATCGATACATCAGCAGCCGCAGTGTAATGGCATTTAGAGAGGTTTTGACTGACGCCTCAAGTGCCACCCCTGACGTCACCCCCGCGCCAACCAAAGGGTCGAAAAAAAGATTAAATAGGAGGATACTCACGCCTGGCCGCGGCAACGACATGTACACCTGCTTGTCGCCCTGACGCAGTCGACACGAGTCACTCACGTCCCGCGACACCGTCGTCACGTCCGACATCAAACCGTGCCACATGTCCGCGAACACTGCAACACACCAAGGGTTATATTATTATGGTTAGTGACGTCAAGCGCGGGGCTGTTTGCTGAATTCAGTTTGTTTCACAGGGTGTGGTTGCAACACACAAGGTTATTTTTTTGCTCGTGGGAAATTGCAACCGACTTGTATACAATGTTTACAGACGAAAATGTTGTTCTGGTTTTATCATACTTAACGATATTTATTAGAACAAAATCTTGTATGAAAAGAATTTGGTAGTAATGCTAAATTAACCTTAAACTCTTGCCAACCATGAATGAAAATTTCTTTCAAAAACAATGATCATTAATTTTATAGCATAATTTGGAAAATGGCATATTGATAAAAAATGTTATTTATTATATGATAATTTCAATGTAACTTTGGTATTGTTGACCTATCATATAAGTTTTTCAATTGCCTGTAACAAGAAAGCCCAATAATGGCGAGAGCACAGTCGCCACGATTCTTTCGAACTTGTCGGGCGCAACCAATGCTAACATGAAGTAATTGATGGCCACTTTTTACCGCGCACGTACACAAAAGTTGCTCTCGACTTCTCTGCAAGTTTGTTCCGACTTATTTCACCAGTTGGAAAAACAGCAGAGACGTGGAGGGAAAGTTGTCCTTGGTGTACAACTAGTGTGTATGCAGAGTGCATGAATGCGCGAAAGGAAGAAACTTTGTGAGGGAGGAAAGAGATGTCAACAGCACCGCGCTGTGTCATCTCTATTTCTCTCTCCCGCGAGAGATTCGTTCAGATTTTTTTTGCACGTTTGTCGCCGCAAATGTATGGAAGTTATAAATGGCGAAGCGACGCGATTCATCACGTTTATTCGAGCACAAATGATAAACATGAGAGGGAATCGCGCGAAAAAACAGAATTTTGATTTACACAGCGGTGACGCCGGGGAAAGAAATTTATCGATGTTATTTTGCGTGATTGCAAAAGTCGGTCTAGGGAAAATTCGATTTTAGGAGAAAAAAATTGCAACCACTTTTTCCGCGCTAGGAAATATAGGAAAATACCTTCAAGGTTTTCTTTTGCGATTTTTGAGGTAGGATGAAGAGCCAGTGTGTGAGCAGCAGTTACCACCTGAGGTCCGTAGATTCGTAGGTTGATTTCCGTGTATTTCGCATACACCTGGAGGGCGTCAGTGTTTGCTACGTGCCGCAGCATTTTGCATATCTGGAACGAAAAATTGCAAAAATTCTGGAATAAAAATATGAAAAAAAAGATATTAAAAAAAATTGACGAATCTCAATAGCAGCTAATAAGAAGAAAAAAGTAGTGATTTTTCCACTTTTTCATTTTTCTTGTTTAAAAAATAATTATTAATTAAGTATATAAGAGTTTGAGTTATCCAAAAGTATCTTTTAATTTTATTTGATTGGTTTTTTTAAATTTATTTATTCACAATCAAACGTAGAAAAAAAATATTACAAATATCACCTAAATGAAGTTCAATATATTTTAATGAAGTTTGGAAAATACAATTTTTAATCAGTTTGAATTCAAAATATAATATTGAATTCTATGAACTTCCATGTATTAGAATAATTTCATTTCTATTTTATTATTTTGTTTAATTTTTAATAATCTTTTTCTCAAAGAAATTAAATTTCTACAATTAAAATTGAAAAAAAAAAATTTAATATTTTCTAAATTTAATTTATTTTTTTTTCTCGTCGGAAATAAGATTCTGCATAATATGCATCACATGTAATTTTTTCCTCACTTCTAGCACGTGCTCGAGATGCTCGTTGAACTTGGCCGAGGCCTCTTCCAGTCTCTCAGTGTCCGAAGCGAGGGCCGAGTTGCGCACGCAAGACATGAGTTCGACCCCCGCCCGAGCCACGTTGCCCAAGTCTGCACTTTGCGCCAGCGTGGTGGCCTGCAGCTGAGCACGCAGCTCGCGAGTCGCCCGCAGAACGCCTTGCTGGCTGCCCTCGACGTCGGGATTTGTGTCTGGTGCTGCGGGTTGCGTCCCATCCAACTGTAAAAAAAAACATCAAGAGCAATGATTAGCGATTATTCAATTGAGGATGAAAAATTTTAAATTTGCTGACAATTTAGATTACTTCAATAAATCAAAAAAAAATTTGTCCTTGAAACTTTACAAAAAGATAAAAAAAAAAAATGGAACACGCATATGAAAAGAATAAAGTTTTTTTCATTTTTTAATTGAGAGAATTATCTAAAAATATAAAACTTGATTGTTTAGAAATGCTTACAAAAAAGTCGCAAGTTTGATGCTACTTTAGATTTGAATCATAATTATCTAGGAGACGAGTTTCAGAGCGCCTTTGACTATGACCTAAAACAACTGCTCCTTTTTACCTCCAATAGTGAATGGAAACACATCGGATGACCGAAAGTTATCATTTATCAATAAAATAAGGACCATCTCTAAATGTATTAATTAAATTTTTTAATTATCGTTTTTGAATTTTTAACAAGTATTAATCAGATGACTTGATTTTAATTTGCAACGACAAAATACGCAAAAATAAATTAAATAATAAAAATTAATACAGCGACTTTGTTAAAAAAAAACTGCTACTAAGTTTCAACAAAAGCTATTTTCAAACCATTAAACAGACCAAATTTTTTGAGACTAATGATGGATTATTTATTTCTCATTTTCTCGCGGTCTCCATAATTTATATTTACCCTTACAATTTATTACAGTGGTACATCTGAAGTTTGTTATTTATTCGGATCTTTTTGTTTTAATTAATGGGCTCTTTATTTCCTGTTCGCCAAGAAAGCAAAACGAATTAAAAGAGCAATAACTCTTCTTGATTAGAAGCAAATGAGCCAGAATGCGCTGCAAAGTTTGCAAGCCAATTTCCATCCCTCCGCCCGCAATAAATTACACACGCCGTGCTTAGAGACGGACGTATATAATATTTATACGCGATCCGACGGTGGTATTAATACCTTTCCCTGGCATCCCTGGCCGGAGGGTGTGCGCAATCTTGAGCGGCAGCGGTATCAGTGTGTTTGCAATGCATTTGTTTGTGTTCCGAAGGTATAGAAGAGAAGCCAGCCGTTGGTCGGAATAGCCTCTCCAACTGACTTTGGTTGTGTGCTGAGAAAATAAGCGGCTCAAGCACCCCCTCTAGCACTCGATACACAAACGCGTAAAATTTAATCCGGCTGCGATGCGCCGAGCCGATTTGACCCAGAATTGTGCGAATTAATTGGCGTGGCGTGTGCTCAGAATGCGAAAATTTATCTCGCTGCAGCACCACCGCACAAACAACCGACATTGAAAAATTGGTAGGGTCTCCATTGTTCGCCAGCCAGCCCGATCCGCAGCCTTGACTTCATTAGGATTCCCTCTTTGGTTCGCTTCTTTTTTGCGATGAGACTTGTATGCTTTCTATTAAGTCGTTTTGCATTCCACTTTCCCTAGTTGGTATGCAGCGAACCCAATGGACAAACGATCCACTGGTACATACAGCCGGTACGTGTGGTGATTCCAGTGTATAGAGTAAAAAGCAGAATTTAAAATCGGTTTGAAAAAATATAGACGATGGTTTAAAAAGCTATACAATTTGGAAAATTGACCATATTCTTGTGAAACCACTACTGAAATAATATAAAATTCACTATATTAAATAAAGTGAATTTTATATTACAACATTGTTTTGGCCAGAAGTATGTGGTGGGATGAAATTATTATTTTGCAAAATTAATCTCTTCTATTGCTAGTTTGATCTTTAAAATATAGCAACTGCTTTATCAAACCGGTACCATATCTTTCTTTTGTTTTTTTATGCAAACAGGAAATCTGCTTTTGAATCAGTTTTTAAAATAACGTTTCGAGTACTTACCATGTGTGAGTTCCTAAGCATTTGTGAAAGCTCCATTTTCGCCCGGTCACAAAGCATGAGGATGTTCTCCCTGTGTTCGTGACTGGTGTAGGCCGAGTCTGTGAAGTCCTGGCACCTTTCGATGGCTTGTTCCAACGAGCCGGCCAGTCTTTCTCGAGGCGCTGCCATGCCCCCTGACACGGTCACACTGCCCCCTACCGCCGTCAGCCTTGTCAGCTCGATTAACGACTCAAAATGCCGCAGGGCACCTACTACCGTTCTACTCGCGTCCCAGTCCTCCTGCAAAATGCACACAATTGTTTTCTTTTTAATTATTTTATTCTTTTTATTTACTTTTTTCGGGAAAATTTTGTAGGATATAGAAAAAATTTTACTGGCCAGTTCCCAAAAATGTTGTTTTTTACCTCATTATACCCATTATAATAATTATTGTTTACTTATTATCACTCAACTCATTGTTGTTGTTGTTTTTTTTTTTTTTTTTTTTAATATATTAGAAGAGAAAATTTGATTACCTCTGCTGATCTGTGAGCAATTTCGGCCGCTGTCTGGGGGTCCTGAAAACTACCGAGGGGGTCCACCGAGTTAGCCGCTGCGGCCGCCGCAGACACCTGAGCCGCGCAGTCGAGGACGCCGTCCTTGACCACGTAATGAATGAGGTCCATTGCTCTGCGCATTTGGCAGAAAACGGTGTCGCGGTTCTCGCGCGCACTCAGGCACTCTGGATGTCGCAGACACGTCTGGAACAAAACAAGCAACAAATTAATTTCTCGCAAATTGGTGTGTTAAGTTGCGGATTATTTTTAAATCTTTTTTTATTGGTAAGTGGCATTCTACGTAAATTCATAGAAATCAAATAAAATATTAAGAACTCATTAATCACATTCACTAGTAAATATTGCATTTAATATGTTTTAATTATGATATTCATAGAGTCAGTAAATAATTTTAAAGCGACGAGGATAGTAATGATTATAATTATTATTATTACATTATTTAACTTTCAAATTGATGACATTCATATTTATAAAAAAAATATATATTATGAGTTTTTGTATTATCCTGACAATATAATAGTTATATATGCATACGTTAAATTCTTATTAAATAAAAAATTTGTGTGTAAAAACAATATTAAACAATATTAAATTTTTAATATAAATATTAAAAATAGTATGTTATAATTAAAACTTTATAATTAATATCTACTAAATAAATATTTAGTGCATACTAATTTATTTCCATTCAATTACTATTTAATAGAAAAATACGGAAAATTAGTGCAAACATACTGAACTCCACAAAATAATTTACTGGTTCTCAATAAAATTATTCCTCTCTAAGCAAGGCGATACAAAAATATACTTTTTCAAAGAAAAATAGCCACATTGCGCTAATGAGCTTGCTGAAAATTATAGTCGACTATTTACTAAGAGACGAAGGTTTTCAAAGTATTGTGATAAATTACGTGAGTAAATTGTTTTGCTTCTTTCAGAAAAAAATAAAATAACTAACAATAAGAAAAAATAATTTTTCAAAAGGAACATAAAAATTGTTTTGTATTCCTGAAAAAATATTATTTTATTGTATCAATAAGATTGCTGAATCTCTTCACGTAAAATAAGATACGTGCAATTCTTCGCCATTTTAAGAAATAAAGAAGAAGCGTGACCCGTCTATTAGCAATGAATAAAGGTGTAATTATCCCACGGGCGGCACGCGCTCTGCATCCTTCACCCTGTTTCCCGCGGCTAATGGGCCAGCGCAGGAGAAACGAGCTGCTAAATAAATCTTGCGCCTCCAATGAAACTTTCACGGCTTCTTTATTTTACCCTCTATTGGCAATTTGATCACGACTCGAGACGGACATCGAGGCCGGCAGAATCTCGCGTGATCCGCATTTCGGTCACGTCGCTTCGGTCATGTGCAATGAAATTGCATTCCCGCGGCCGGGCAATTCCCTCGAGTGCACCTCCGCCGTCCCGGATGCAATCCTGCCAGACAATGGACGAGATACGACGCCGACTCATCCACTCGCCTCGATCCGGTCTATAATTGCACTTTAGTTCTCTTCCGCTTATAATAGGACACAAAAAGGTCAGGATTTAAGAGGAAAACACTCTAGAACTTCAAGAGCAGCAAATAAAATTGGTCTTTATGAGTTTTGCAACAGGAATAATAAGTAGGGCTGCTCAAAAAGTTGAATATTTTATTTGAAAAATCTATTGTAAACAAATAATTTAAAAATTTTAATTTATTTCTTACAAAAAATAGTGTTATACACTCCGTTGAGTCTTCAAGGTTAGGGTTGGATAATGATTATTTGTAGTTGAAGGAATGATTTATGAGGAGGTCGAAGAGAGATCTTAAATTTTATCATGTTTTAACGGCTGGTTTTTCAATCGGATAATTTCAAAATTATATCAAATCGCCAAAGATAAAAGGTGGAATAAGTTGAATTATTCAATAGAAATATAAAAAATCTATTTAAGTCCAGAAATTTTAGGGTAAATTGACTTTTCACAAAAAAGTAGGAGAAATTCAACTGAAAGTAGTTCAAAAATTCATAATTAATGCTAAAAAGAATAAATAATATACAAGTACTTGAAAATCTAATGATTTTTTTTAAATATTGAGGGCGATCCAAAAGCCTAACCTGGCCCAGGCTAACTTGACTTGGCCCCGGGCTAATTTAGCCCACCAGCAAATTTGAATGGCGGGTTAAATTAGCCCGGGCCAGGTTAATTTAGCCTGGGCCAAGTTAGCCTTTTGGATCGCCCTCATTAATATTTACTGTACAAGTAAATTTTTTTAGTTCTTAAATGGCTGATAAATAAAAAAAAAGTAAATTTTTACCTCCGTTTGCTACAAAACTTGTTTTTCATTTTAATCTCAAAGTTGTGTTTTGGAGTTGGAAGTTTATTTATACAAGGCGAGTTTTAATAAGTAAACGGGGTTAAAGCTGCAGCTCGAGCTTATGCAACCCGCTGCCTATTATTTACATGCGGGTTGCATAACTCCAACAGCTGCCAGCAGTTGCCCGTGCTGAATGTGAAGGAGCTAATTAGAACGGTGTCGGCGCGCACGTGGAGGAAAAGATTCGGTTACTTTGATGATTCTCGTGTGCTTGCATGCGAGGTCGACTTTCGCTTTCGCTGTGTTTGAGGTCGGATGGCTTTTCCACTTCACAGTCATGCAATACATTTGAAATTGCTTTCCCAAATCAGAGAGATGGAGTTATTTGAAAACTTGTGATGGAAAATTGCCGGCAGGCGGTGCCGAAAATATCTTCACGAGCCCCGAAAACAAACGCGCAGTTTCGCACTCTTAGTTTCCGACCGACGAAAAACTTCTTTGCGGAGAAAAAGATAAGGGTGGAGAGAGAAAAAAAGTGTATAAAAGGAAGTCGGTCGGTGCGGCGAAAGAGACACTTAAAGCCCCACCGCACGTGAGGCGTAATCCCAAAAAAGCAAACCGGGCGCGCCATAAAATATTTACTCGAAAAGAAGACGCACCTTGGACGATGTGAGCAGCATCATGGTGGATCGCTCGAGCACTTGTCTCGCCGCCGCCATCTGCGCCCGTCTCCTTTCGTCCTTCAGGTCGTTGTGCCTGTCGCCGGTCAGGTGTGCCAGCTCCACCATCTCAGCGCCGAACTGCGAGAAGGCCTTGACGAATTCTGTGAAGTTGCTCACGCCCTCGAGCCGGCCTAAGGAACGGGCAACCTGGAAAAGGACAAACGCACGTATGAGATTTTAATTCAAAGATAAATTAAAATTACATGTTTCAGAGGAAGCAAATTAAATGAGATCGCAGCGACAATTGCCAATTTTCAATAAAATTGGAATGGCAGAAAAGATGTAATGAAAATAATTTTTTATTAAGTTACAAATGTAAAAGCCAATTTAAACATAAAATTAACAATATTGGAAGACGCCATGAAATAGTTGAAGGTTTAATTTAGAAATAGTCATTGTTACAACATATTTAATTTTAAACAAGGACTCATTTAAATATCTGCATTATGGAAAGAAAATTAAAACCACAATAGACGGAAGTTTAAATATATAAATAATCTAGTCCGTTTTCATTTTCTGTCTATAATGCAAAGCAGTCATTCCAACGGTTCTTGAATCATATTATATTGAAGGCTGATAGTAGGTTCAAAAATTATCATATCTTCATTGGAAACCTAAATTCGTATACAGAAACATGGCACCAAGATTCTTAAATGAAAGTTTCAGCATTAAGAACCTGCCGTACGGACGTGTGAGACGAGACAAAATAATTTCAAAATAATAATTATTTATAAATTTCTGATGGATATTTTATAAAAAAATGTCACTTGCTCTTAAAATTATTGTTTTACTAGCTCATTCACTTTGCTTCTTTGTAAATAATTTATAAAATAATACAAACAACCCATCCCGTATAGTTGGTCCAATTAACAATTAATTCAAAACGTGTAAATCGAACGCATTTTGGCACGCTAGGCAGTACCTCGTTAACCCTCGTCAGGTGCCAACTGACGCAAGCAAATTCCCGTTCCCAGCAACTTTCCAGTGAGCTTTCGCCTGATGGCTGACGGATTTTAATTCCCACCGGGATTCAGATGGAAATTTGCAAAGAAATCCCTGCGAGCTGCAACTGATTTGAAATTCAAATGTACCTTGTCTTGCGCTAGGAGGAGTTGTTTGACGACCACGATGTCGGCCAGCAGCAGCACCCTGGTGACCGAGCCCAAAAGACACCTGGCGGCCCGCACTACCGAGCCTCTGTCAGTCAGACTGTCCGTCATCGCCACCTGACACAGTTTCTCTATGGAACACCCTGTAACAGAGGAAAACGCTTAATCTTCCCACTCCGCCGACCATTCGTCATTTTTATTAATGGACAGATGCACACGATAAAATTTAGATTTTTCACGCAGTGTAATTGTTTTCCTATCTCTTCAGTTAATTCATTAATCACAAGAGTTTTTCTGCGTGCTTTTTGCAATTAGTGCAAAGAAGACGGCTGAAGGCGAACGGGAAAATTGAAATGACAGCCTCTGTGATATGGTCGATTAATCTCGACAGTAAATCTCTCTCTAATGTATACGTGGCGGACATCAGCGCCATGTAATTGATTTTCTTCAGACGTTTCTTCCAAGACGAGGGGTAAGTCATGGTCACGAGATAAAAATTTCAACAGAATAGGTCATTTTGCAATAGATTTTGCCACAAGATTAAATATTAAATTTTTGCTGCTCAAGAAATTCACTAAAAATTGAAAAAGAAAATTATCACCATCTCTTGACTTACAAATATTTTCAAAAATATATTTTTATTATGTTTAAAATACTTACTACTAATTACTTTTTTTTATCAGTTTCAAGAAATATTACGAACAATGTGATTGAAACTTTGAAAAGCAGATTTTTTAATTTTTCTTATTTATAAATTTCCCCGTCAATGGGAACAAACGGACGTAATTTTTAACATCACCCTATTTTCATCATGCTTTTTTTTATTATCTCAAAATAAAAGAAAAAATGAAAAATTCACAAATTTTTAAAAGTTTTTTTTTAATTAATTTTAACTTTCTATAATTATTTGAAGCCATGAAAGTTTCAAAACAATTTTTTGCCTTACCTGCCGCCCGAGCTTCTTTACAGGACCCGTACATGTCGTCCCTGATTTCTGGATTGTCGTCCGCGATGGTCTCGCCGACCGTGACGAATCTGTCGACGGCCAAATTGACCGCCTGGCCCACTCTGGCGACGGCCCGCAACACCCTGGCAGAGGTGAGCCCCAGACCCTGCGCCGACGTGCACTCATTGTGGTGGCTGATCAGCGTTGATATCTGCAACAAGAGCGTAAACACGTCGTTGAATTTCGATCGGCCGTGCTTGCGAAAACGACGCTCCGAGGGGCAATTTGGAAATGTCGGCAGCTCGTATCGACGCCGAGTGTTAAAGCAAATTGTCCCCTCAGGATGAGTCACAAAACTTATCTTGCACCGTTAAAAAGCGGACTTTTTCAAGTATTTGAGTTGAGAATCGATTCTTATGTAATTTGTTTTTGTGGGAACTCACCAGGAAGAGTCCAGAATAAAGAATTTGACGAGTATCATAATTCTAGGAAAACTTTTTAAATGAATTTTATTCATTAAATTTTTATTTTCTATACTATTTAAACAAAATATTTTGTTTTTATTGAAAAAAAAACATTTATTTAATGATTTTTTTAATTTTGGAATGTATTTAGTTCTAGTTTAAACTTTCAACAATAGATTCTTTTAAATTATTATAACCTTTGAATTTGAATAATTTTAAATAGTTGTTTTGACGGAGTTATTTATTATTTATTAAAATGAGATTAAAATGAAATGTGTTTATTCTACATGTCTCTCCTACAACAAAATATGATGGTAATTTATAATTGAGATGAATTAATGACAATTCGAAACGGCATTATTCAAATTATCTAAATATAAATTTTTTGATCAAATAATATACAGTATGGTATAATATATGAAGCAGAAGAAATTTATTGAAATTTCCATATCCACCCTTACATTGCATTTGATTCTCTCTATAAAAAAATATTTCTTATAAAAAAGTTCATACTCATATATGGTGCACAGAGGACCAAATCTGAAAGGCGCGAGAGAAATCCAATTTGCTGCCAAATTGAATGCCTACTTGGTGCGGGTTGCGTCTTTTATGGACGTAATACATTTCGTCGGCGGCCAAAAGGGCCTTTGAGATTTTTTCCCGGATGCTCCTCCGCCGCATAACGTTTACGCCGCAGAGAATAAGAAATTCGCTTGCCCGCGTCAGATGCAGGCGTGGTAATCGAGTTTTGCCGCAAAAATGTACGTGACCGTGCATCTCGCTTAAAGAGCATTTCATGGGCTGATGAAATTGTGTCCAATTCGAGCGTCTTTTAGAGGCGAAAATAAACGCCCGCTATCTTCCATGCCACGGCGAAAATTGCACTTTAATTTTGTCTAATGGGACGCCCTCTTAAAACGAGGCACTCTTGCGAGACCACCAGCGTCTTGGAAAAACGATGCTGCGAAACTCGTAAAAGGTGAGAGCGAGATTAAAAACGTAACGAATACGTGCGCCAACCATAAATAAATAAGTGTGTACAAAGGAGAACTTCATTATTTATTGCATAATATAAACAATAATTTGAGAACCAAATTTTTTAAATCAAAATTCTTGCTTAACTTTGTTTGTTTGCTTTGATAGAATTTCATATAAAAAAGATAAAAAAAATATTAATTTTACCAAACAAAATCATACAGAATAGTGGATGTAATAATAATTTGCTGTTTCAATTTTATAAAACAAATTAGTTTAAATCAAACTTTAAATATCTAGAAACGCTTTGAAAGTCCTGTCAAAAAATCATTACCTATAAGCATATTTATTATAAAACATTTCTAATCCTTGTGAAATCATGGAGGTTTTGATGTTTATGTCATTTTCAGTGCCACTGCATTCACCCGCGAGGCTACAAATTTGCAAAACAAAAGCGGCTCTAATCTCGGAAGCAATTAGCCGGCCGCAACTGGTCGAGAGGGCAAATTAGCGAGCACGCAATAAATCGCGCATGCTAATTGCAAGTAAGTGCGAATAAATGTGTATTTTCCGAGCACCGCCAGCTATTAATTAGTTCTCCATTTGCGTGGGCGTACAATTAAAATAATAATACGATACACACTTGGCTGACTTGGCATGCTAATTTATTCATTAAAATTTCGGTAGCTCCATTCACCGTTTGCCGGCCGACCAGGGAGTGCAGCTTTTCCGTTCGCTCGATTTAGAATCCAGGTGGGGCGCAATTTCCAGCAAGATCCTCGGCTCTCTCCGGGGAGAGAATTTATTAGCCGCCTCTCTCACTCGGCCCTTTTGAAACATGTGTTCCGACAATTAACAAGTCGTAAATCTGCACGCCGTATAATTTAAATTAATACTTGCGCCATACCAGAGTCGTGAGCACCACCCTTCCGTTCACTCGCCTCTAAGCCCGACTTGCTTGCACACGCAAGTGCTGAAATTGAATCAAGCCTTTCTCCCCCGCGTCCCTTTTAATGCGATTTGCGGCGCATGAAAAATTCGTGCAACAAGTTTCTGCGTTTGTTTTACGACGGACGGGGCAGTGGTCGTTAATAAGACTCACGATGTTTGACTACCAACTTTCTTTCTTTGCTTAATAAAGAGCTTTAAAAGTTTTCCGAAAGGGTTAAACTAAATATTAAGTTTGTTTTAATCCATTCCAAGAGACTAGTTTGGAGCGGGCAAATTTGTTGAGTTAATTAATTGAACTATAAATTTGAATTTTTTTACTTGATTGATGATTAATCCCGATCAGTTACAGTTTCAATCTCTGAACTAGCTTTTGTCCTTTGTTATATTTTTTGAAAAAAATATTTTCATGTGTTGAAGCACGTTAGAGAATTGGAAAATTTTGAAATTCACATAGTTTTTTATTCATTCTTTCTTTTTAAAGAGAGAATTTGACTTGTGCTTTATTTTTGTTTTAAGTGAGGAATTTCCAATTTTGAAATTTTCACACTTCATTTCATTTTGACTTTGTCGTTTATTTATTGTTTAGATATGTATTTTTTCCAACTTTTGATATCTATTTGACACTTTAAATTGTGTTTTGCAAACTTGCAAATCTTCTTCCAATATCACTTGCGAATTTTTCATAAGTTTTTAACTTTAAAACCGCATTCCTAAAGGAAGTCAATCAAGAGATCAGTTCCACAATTTTTGAATTTCATAGCGAAAGGAATGTTCCCTTGAAATGCGTATTTTGTTACGTGATAATATGTTTCTAGTTATTTTAAATTAGCTCTATCGCGAAAACCGAGTTTTTTTTGTCATTTTTTCAATCATTTACTGATCAATGTGATTAAATATTGATAGAAGATTGATAATAAATATTCAAATATTGGTGTGCATGAAATTGCAATATGCAACTGTACAATTTGATTGTTAGATATTTTATAGCTAAATAAAAGGCGCATAAGAAGTTAGATTGGATAATTAATTTTTAAATCTATGATGTTTATATTACTCAGCACTCATTATATTTTTATTTGAAAATGTTTGAAAATAGCAACGTAAAAAAAATAATGAATAACAAGTACTATGTTACGCAAAAATAATTTATTTTATCATAAATTTTGATAAAAACTAAATTAATTAATAAAAATATATGATAAAATAAAATTACATAAAAATTTAAATTAATGTCAAGGAGCATATCAAAAGCTGTATTATGTATGTATTAAATTTTAGTTTAGCATTTAATTTTAAAATAAATTTAATTGCGTCAATTAATCAAACAAACTTTTCACAAGAATTCTCCATAATTCTAAATTATTATTTCTTTTGGAAGAATCCAAAAATATCTTTGCTGGGGAAAAATCGATAAGGAATGGAGGTGGCGGTGTTTCGCTACACAAATTTCAGATCCTTGACAAATAACCGCCGTCTCTTCCTGCGCGTCGCCTTTAATTTGGCCTGTGTGTGTGTCGCTCACAGGCCCGGAATCGATTTTCCGACGACACGCCAGCCACTTCTTCAGCTTCTTCTCTTTTTGCGATTCTCTCGCGTGTTTGTGTGTCCTCGCATACATATCAGCCGCGTGGGAACGAGATACACGTCGTCATCCATCTCTGCATTGTGCGGTGGTCGACTAAGCATATTTCTAATGACAAATACCTCCGGCGGACAGATCTGGCGACGACAAAGTAATTTCTGGCCTGGGCAAAAAGCGGCGCCGCACGATCCGTCATTCTAACACGCCTAGGCAAAGTCGCCGAAAAACGACTCAAAATTAATGATGCCGAGAGGAAATTTGCTTCTTTTGGTCCGTCACGTGCGTGCGTCTATGTAAGTTAGGCACTTAGATGGTCGCTCTGCCAAAGTTATTGCGCCTTTTTGTCTCTCTCCGCTGCGGAATCGCTCGTCTTTTTCCGCCTTTCAGTTTGAGTAGATCAGTATAATACTTGTGGGGCGAAATCGTTTTTGTTGAAAACCTGTTGTTCAGCTCTCCGAATTCAATTTTAGAAAGTTGAGGGGATCGTGGGGACGAGCAGTGCGGAAGTCGTAAAAAAGTTTGACAATTTAAACTAAGCCATGAAACGGAATTCATAAAATTTATATCCGAGCACGAACCCTTACATTCATAACTTTTTAAACAAAAACAAACTTTTAAATTATTTTTGTTTTAACATCAATTAAAAATGTTTAATTTTTTGAAAAATTATATATGATTTTAAAATAACCATTTTTTAGGTATTAAAAATAATTTATTTTATTTTTAATTTAAAATTTATTATTTTTCTGTTTTACTGAATTAAAAAGCAAGAATCGCACACTGTATATTCCAAAGACTAACATAATATAGCTATAAAAGTTTTAATTTTTTTTACAATATTTAAGAGTAATAGTGCTCTTTAAGTAGTTTTTCTTAAACATAATTTAAATTCACTAATTTTATAAAAAGATTATAGTTTATATTGATGATGATAATATCAACCGGAGATCAACACACAATTCATTAATGAATACCAAATATCATCCTTTGGTTCATTAAATATAAAATGAAAATGATTCCTTCTCCACAATAAATCATGAAAACGATTTGTCCCAGTTTATTCAGTTTATTAACTAATTATTAATACAAGCCTCCAAACCTAAGTTCCATATAGAAGTAGAAGTAAACGTTTCACACAGATGTTACAGTTTCAAGCTATAAAAAGGTGGATTCACTAAATTAAGAGTTGGAGAAATTTTATGATAATATTAGAGGAAATCAATTTTTTTATTAAAGGAT